TCCAAACCTGGTCAAACTGATTGGATATTGCTGCGAAGATAGTCTATTGGGTGTTGTTTATGACCTTGAACCTGTGGATACAGTACGCAACCTCATTGTTAAAGGTATTACATATTTTCCCCATTTGATTAATCCGTTACAACTTGACTTCTCTAATCATAGATTCATACATCAATTTGTTGAGCATGTATGCCATATTTTCAATATATATTGCGGAGAGAGAAGGCAAGAGAAAGCATACAAAGTGACAATCTGTAATATATAATTGCAAGACCAACTGATTTGCCATATTAGTGATCTGTGACAAAAATTTAGTACTTTGGCTTGCAGTCCAGAACAGAAATTGAATCTTAAACCTGCTTCGAAACTGATTATTTTAGTAATTTATTAGTTTAGTTTTTCCTTTTCTCCCGTGTTGCATAATATCTCTTTTTTCTGTAATTATTTTCTTATTTGAGTAAGAAAAGTATTTAAATATTTTTCAAAGTGGCAATTGGTCTTGTACGTCTGCTTGAGTTTTTGCACAGCCATAAACCGCAATACCTAGTTCGCAATATTAGTCCTGCACATATAATGCTTGATCAGGTCGGATCTGGTGTCCATATACTTATTGCACTTGGCTTTTCAGTAACTTCTTTCTGAAACTCAGGATTACAATCCAGTACTATTTGACTTTGGTTTGCTAGTTGGTGGGGTTTTGGGTGATGATCAACGAATCCCAAGTATGTACGTGCATGGATGTCCAGGCTATACTGATCCCATCGTTGCATGTGTCGGTATGTCAAGTTGATGTTGTATTTAAAATTTATTTCAAGACTATAGTTCATTGCCTGCGTCACCATTGCACCTCTTAACTTTGGAATTTTTTCAACCAGTACATGTCATATAATACTCTATGAATTGTGGGGAAATGAGGAAAGCCAAGTGAAGATGTCAACCTAACAGATCAGTAAACAATTATGAATACTCATAAACGCGTCCTTGATCTCTATTTTTTTGGGAATCCATGGTGTTTAAAGCGGGAGGAAACTTGTGCATAAAAACAAACATAGTCCTAATATCAAACTATTGTTAGTTGTGATTTAACCATGTAAAAGAAACCTAAAAAATTAAAATAATTAGAGGGTCTTAAAGGGATCATTACTGAGTGTGGTCCCCATTAATCAAGGGTGCTGGGGAAGGTGAAACGGATACCAGCTTAACCTTTGGCATCATGTGCACAAAGTTGCTGCTCTGACGATTCAAACTTGTTATCCAATGTGCTGACTTTGAGAATTTTTTCAACTATGCCAAGCATTTTCCCCTAAAAAGGTCGAAATGACCAGCTTGAGCTAGTCTATTCTTAAGGTGTACCTCAGTACAATTGTAAATGGGGTTGGGCTAGGAGACCATAGTGTTATGAGAATAGGTATGGAATTTTAAATCTTTCTCTACCAACTAGACTGGAGTTTCTGTTGGCTCTAAGATTTCAAAATGAAGCAAATGATCCGAGTCTGACAAAAAAAAAATGGCTTATAGTAATCAGTAAGCCTAAAGGTCTATTTTCCCCCTTGGGCAATATTTGGCTTTTGGGTGTGTGGGTGTGATCAGCTTTTGAGGTAGTCATTCTCAGGTGGTTTTCCATATGAAGGATACCTCTTAAAGAAAAAATAAGGACCCACTATAGTAGCATGCTATAAATACTGAATGGTATTGATTGTCAAAATCATGTGTTTCTGCTTATGAATCAAATGACATAGTATCAAAACCTCCCTTGTTTCACACGTGTCACAATAGTGAAGATAGAAGTAAGAGGTGGAAAAAAAGGGAAAATTATTGAAAGCAATCGACAGAGAGAGTGCCCCCTTGGTTGAGAGAGAGTGAGAGAGAGAGAAAGAGAGAGAGAGAGTGTGTGAGAGAGAGAGGTAAAGATGGTGTTATGTGGTTTTTGCTCTAAAAGACAATCTTCTTCATTCTGGGTGCAACCTACTTGTTGCCACCGATCGTTGATCTCTAGTCTTGGCTGATTTACCAATCGCACCCCAGAGAAATCGATGAGAGATGCCTAAACTTGTCTCATCTTAATTGAGAAGATGAGAGAAGTTGCCACCTATCGTTGATCTCTGATCTTGGCTGATTTAGCAATTGCACCCCAGAGAAGTCAGCGACGGATGTCAGAACTAAATTTTTTTACATATACGCTCTTTATATATTGGCAATTTCTATATTATGAGGTAGGGTTTATAATTAGTAATATGCAAGCCAACCATATTTTAACTAGCAAAGAAAAATAAGAAAATAATTATAGTAGTTAAAAAAAAAATTGTTTTGCTTCAATCAGGCTCTACCTCTTGAGCTACATTGTCTTAGATATGTGTATGAGCTTATCGGCTTATCCCTAGATATATGTGGTACTTTTATATATATATATTCCTTTTTTTAAGAGATATTTTGCACAAGGTGCGTGTGTGTGGTTACAGTGTTTATTAAGAATAATTGAACTATGCAACACATACTTCTCAATATCAAAATAAGGAATATTGAATCCCAAGGGGTTGGCCTAGTGGAAAAGGCTTGGGCCCTGGAACCTCATTAAGCTTTAGTTCTCAAACTCGATTCTCCTTAGGTGCGAACAATTCCTTGGGGCCACAACCGCGGACATAGTCCGAGTCTTACCCGATCCATGTGGGAGTTCGCCTTGCACGGGCCCTGTGGATTAGTCGGGGAAATCTAGAGTCCAACATCACATGATTCGCACTTCATGCTTAGCTGATTCATTTATTCCAATCTAGAGTCCGACATCACATGATTGGTTACTCGACTCCAATTTGGTCTTTTGTAAGAGTAACTATTTGAGGAATACTTGAAGTAATTAATTTATATATTAAGGAAAAAAGGAGTAATTAATTTTCTTCGAGCTGATGATTTTGCTACCTTGCTTTGTAATATAGGTAGTTTTTTTAATCTTTTGATCTCTTTATCTGATTTTGAGGTGTGGTCCCTCCAGTCTCTTGGGCCTTTTCTTGTGAAATCTCTTACTTATGTTTGTCAACATAAAGGTTTGGTGACACCCCTATCAAGTGTTTAAAACTGAAAACTCAGTGGTTTTCTTTGAAGTGTTCTGATAATGGACTGTGTGAGTTGTCTTTTAATAAAATGTTTGCCAATTAGAAAGGGATTTAAATTTTAACTTTTAAGTCATAATAGAGACAAGTTTTTTGGCAGGTAGTTTTGAAGTGGATTTGGATTTGCATGTTGATCCTTGAAGAAAAAAAAAAGAAGGAAGAAGTAATTAATTTTCTTCAAGCTGATGTTTGTGCTTCTTTGTTTCGTAATATAGGTAGTTTTATTTTAATCTTTTGATTACTTTTGCTAATTTTGAGGTGTGGTCCCTCCAGTCTCTTGGGCCTACTTAAGTTTGTCGACATAAAGGGCTTTTTGGCAAACACCTTTATTTAGTGCTTAAAACTGAAAACTTTCAGTGGTTGTCTATGAACTGTTTTGATAATGAACTGTGAGTTGTCTTCTAGAAACATGTTTGCTTCTTTAAATTCAACAGGTGTATGGGGGACGGGACAAGACATCTTCTCATTTGGCGCTGTGCTTTTGGAGCTCATATCCAAAACAGTACGTGAGGGAGAGGCAGAGGAAGAAAGATGAACGTCCATTTCCTATATACCGTTGGGCCACGGTCGAATACAATCGGAGGAAGCCGAAGAAATCGTTCTTTGGCTTTGGCCACTCGAAGAAGGCCTCTCTCGTGCACAAAAGCCTTGAAGAAGATTTGGGCTTCAGTCAGTATGATGGATATAAAATTACTGAGCTGGCGATGAGCTGTGTGCGAAGGTTTAGGTTAGAAGTCTCTCCAACAATGGTGGAAGTTGTTCAAAGTTTGGAGAGTTTACGTGCCCCGAAGTGAATGGGTTATCATTAATGATGGTGTTCTCTACAGGTAGAAAATTCAGTTACCCTGTAACTGAAATATACTGTTCTCCGAGCTAATTTCATGATACTGGAAAACTCATCACTGTAACAAGCTTTATGTTACATTTACCTACTTGCATCTAATTTTTCTTTCCCCATATGACAAGTGTCTCGACTGATATTTGTATATTGTTTCCCTACCCTATCCTGGCTAAATGATTCATGTGGTGTAAGGGTTGCAATTCGTGTTCACGGATCGTGTTCGTGTCAACATGATTACGACACCAACACGATTAGAGTTGACGCGAACACGACACAATTATTATATATATTACACGACACATGTAACTCATTTAATAAATGGGTCAAAACCTGACATGATTGATATGAAATGACACGAAAAAACACGTTAATTGAAGCTTTGTTCTCAATTCATTCTTTGCGCATTGGATCAAGAATGAATGGCGGGCCTTGTATCTTCACATTTAACGTTTAACTAAATAGATCATTTTTTATACGAATACGACAAGTTTATATCACAGTAGAGTCAAGCACGAAAACGACATGTTTAGTTAACGGGTCAATTCGTATCGACACGATTACGACACTAACACGATTAGTCTAAACCCTTTTATCTCGTGACGAACACATGTCGTATCAAATACAACTATTTAATATATTTTAATTTGCTGAATTTATTAAAACACAAGGTTATCGAGATGGACAACTACATTCATCTATTCAATTATTTTCCAATAAACGATTTTATGGAATCTCAAAAATAGGAGAACACTCTTAGATATCAAAGCAAATGTAGACATAGCCAAGCAATGCAAGAGTAGCTCTCAATGAGACGAGATGCGAAAGCCAACCATATATGTAAGTAGATTACAATTGACAACCATCTGAATGAGTAAAAGCAAATGTTTAGAAACATTAACATGAAATAACTGTAGCATAAAACCCTATGTTCATAAAAACTGTGCAATGCAAAAACAATTGACAAGGTTATACCGGCTTATATAATCACTCGCACGTTAAAATGCCAGTATAACCCCAAGAATATTAGCAATAAAATGCAATAAGAAAGAGCAGAATTGGACCATACATCTACAACTTGATTCAACATTAAAATCATACATCTATTCCAGTTATCCATTAACGGCCACAAACATTACAGATAAAAGAGTGGAGCATAAGAAACTCCCTCGAGCTCATCCAAATGGCCCACACAATAAGTGTTCTCTAAATTATTAACTATAGATAACTTAAGACCTTTGGTGCATATTAAATGATAATAGCAGTAGTTCAAAATCCAAATCTAATAATATAAAGCCACCCAAAAATTATTTTACTGAAAACTTATGCCTGGACGAACTTCTTCACGTTCTTCAGCCACATCACGTACTCTCTGCTGTCTTTGTTGATCATGTACTCATGCAAGAAATTGGTTGTGCTGGGCTTAATTCCCCGAATCTCCAGATACTTGTGGAAAGCCTTTTGCAGATTCTCATCCAAATCCCTTAGAAAAGGAACAAGACAAAAAGGGGGGAAAGAGAGAGAGATCACGAATTAGTGAAACAAAATGTGTGAGAATTATCGAAATAAGTATCAAGGAAATAATCACGACTGATACTCACGAGAAGTCAGGCCCCTCATAGGCAATTTGATCGTCAGAATTTTCTGGATCCTTAACTGACATGCTATCTATTGAAATCTCATCTGGGTAAGCAGTACAGTTAAACTCCAAACACGGTCCACCCGCCTTCGCAACAGTTACAACAAGTGGGATGCTAGACTGATTGGCCTTCTCGTCATCATCGTCATCATTACCGTCATCATTCTCACCTGTAACAAGATCAGGCATGTGAACTTCGACTTTGATAAGTTCACCCTGATACTCTCTGGAAAGTGATATAGTTTGCTGGCCAGGGTTATCCTCAATCTTGAAAGGGAAGCCTTCTGGAGTCTCTTCAACCTACAAATGAGTAACAACTATCAACTTGCTAAAGCAATGAAATCATGTTTTTTAACATTCAATGCAATCTTTTTATATAAGATCTAAAGTAGTAACTAAGTGAAGCAAATCTTTGGGCAAATTTGACTAATAACTGTATCTATTTCAATGAAGCCATGGCGGCAAATGTCTTTCAACATCCAAACAGCATCAATCCCAAACACAGAACACCTCAACAAATGGTTACAAAATAATAATGGTGCAGGATGCTTTTCATCAAAAAGAATTTTTGACAAGTATCAGATGTTTTTATCAAATTTAGAATACCATAATGCAGTCCACAACTAAATCCGAGAAAACCAATGACAGTTTATAGCTTTATATTCAGCACAGGCATCCAAGTTACCAAAACATTACCAAATATTATCCCTCACCAAAAAATGGATTTTAATTCATATATTAGTAGAAAACTATGCATCTCAAATTCAAAGTCCAAAAAGTTACAATTTTTCAGAGCCAGCAAATCAATATTTCTACTACTATTCATGTTCTTACTAAATGCCATAATGCCATTATGCATAGCTAGTCCAGTGCAGGTGGGTGCTGTGTGTGCGTCATGTTCTTATTGTATTGCTGCTACATAAAAGTAAACACCCTCTACAATACCAATAAACAATTCCCAGAAGGGAATTTTACAAAAACCAGCTAAATCAAGAGAGTCGAAGAACACTAGTGTCCCACGCACACGCACACAGCTGCTACACCCTGTGGTCTCTCTTCAGAGAATAACCAGCAGAAACCATCCAACTATATTACATAGAAGCTCTTACAGTACACCGAAAATTTTCACTCCTGTAACAGATTTAAATTCAATACCATTTTAAGTTAAATTAATAATTCATTATTCTGAGCTTTCAAGATCTTTCAATTTTAAAATCATCAAATACTGCAAATGTGTAAGGCATATATACGTGTCCTGAAATCCCAACTTTACTTCTTTATGTTCCTCAACAAAACTATGCTTCTAGAAAAGTGCTCATCCCCATAACTAATTTAGTTTCAGCTGAACAAAAACACATAGCTCAATTAAAATCCAAATCAAACCCATGCTTGCAAATAATTCTCAGGTAATGATACAATTAAGATTAAGAGAAATCGGTCACATAATACTAAATCAACTGTTCCTAGCTATATTGAGTAATTTTGCGCACACATACACACACACACCAAAAAAAAAAAAAAACTGTTCTATGAACTACAAAGCCTTAAAAAAATTCCAGTTTATAACTTTGAGATTTATATTCATCAGAACACCCAAGAAAAATCATACAACAAGAGTCTCTAAAATCAGACACTTACTCGCACACTATTTAAAAATAAAAATAAAAGACATGTTTTTGCCCTTCAAAATCATTTTGGTGTGCGATAAATAACTAGAAAATAGAACTAGTTCTTGAATTAAAAACAAAAACAAAACAAAACAAGGGATAAAGAACTCCTAAAAGTATTTTGATTATTTCCATTTCCACCGATTCTAAGGTAAACAGAGAATAAAAGAAAATCAGCAAGAACTTACAGAATTAGACTCTTCGGACTCCTCGGCACATTTGATCTCCGATTCAATAACTCGTACAAGAGAATCGTCGGACCGCTTAGTGACGTTAGAGTAGTGAAGGACGGAAGGAAATGAATTTGGACGGAGTTTCTGAGAGATATCGCAGTGCTTGACGGCGGAGAAGAGAGCAGCACAGTGGTGGTGCCTTTGACTTCCGGCCAACCGAATGGCGAGAGGAACAACGGAGGAGGCTGACTTGCGAATGATGGAAGAGAGAGCAGCCATTTGGAGGATAGAGAGATTTGGGGTTTTTCAAGACGAGAGGCTTTAGTTTAGGGGTTTTAGGGTTTATGTTGTTTATATAGTGATACTTGGGGTTTGGGTATCATCTGGTGCTTTCCGTCCTAGATTGGCGTTTGTGCGACCTTCAAGAGTCCAAACTCAAGACTAATAAGATAAATGTTCTTTAACAAAATAATGAACAGTTGGAGAAAAATTATGCATATTTAATAAATATAATTATACAAAATAAAATAAATTCTTTTTGTAGTAAGTAAAATAAAATAAATTCAAACGTGTATGTTAATGGATCCAATTAGTCACTTAAGCACTTTAAGTTTAAGCTCTCTCAAAATAAATAAATAAATAACCAATTGATATTTACATAAAAGCCAATTTGTTAGTTGGTCCTTTAAAAATAATGGTGAAAAAAGAAAAACTTTTTATATACAGAATTTGAAAATATTTCTCAGGTGTTTTAAAAAAATTCCTACATTTTTCAAATTGAGCAAATATAGACCTTTTCTCAATTTGAAGATTATGTTAAAAATAAATAAATAAAATTGAAGGCTAAAATACTTAAAATGTTCGAGAAGATAAAATAATATCCATTTTAATTTGGGAGGCGATATTGCACTCCACTTTTATACATTTGGTCCACTTTTCTTTTTTCTATAATGTGAATGACAAAAAAGTTCAGAAGCTAATTAATGTATCATCTCTTATTTTATTATACCACAACTATCCTTTGTACTATCAACTTCCTATTTTTACCTTCTTTACTTATTCCAAAATTATAGTTTAACGTATCAATAAACCAATTGACGTATTAAATGCACTGACTAATTTTAGATAAAATTACCATTTCATCATCATCTTTTTTCACCATTTTTCTTTCTTTATCAGTTATTCCTCTCTACAGTATTATTTTGGCTGAAAGTTCTTTCTTTCTATAAAATACTTTTGTTGAAGAACTCTATTGCAGTGATTTTTTTTTTAAAGCTTTTATCAATTAATTAATATTATATCTTGTTAATCATTCAAAAAAATAATATTTATAGCACAAGAAAAAAAAAAGGGGGGGGAGAAAATATTTGGAAGGTGAATTCGTAAGTTTTGACATAATACCCATATCTCTCTTTTTTTCTTTTTCTTTTTTCTTTTTTTCATAAAATCCATGTTCTTAAAAAAAATTGTCAAAATAGTTAGGGTTTTCCTCATCAACAAGAAAAACTTCAATGTTTAAATGTATTCCAAATTAATTCTTAAAAATTATATGAAATTAAACTCAAAACACACAATACGGAAAAAAAAATAAAATAAAATAAAATAAAATAAAATTACGATCACCATTAGCATCGATGGTGTTGAATGTCTAGTGAAGTTTTGATGATTCTTACATGCTTCTTGTGTTAATCTTTCATTGTTACAAGATTAACATAAAACTCTAACAGAAAGAGAACATATATTAATACAAAATAGATAAATAATTGAGAGAGGTTGTAAGTGACATAAAATGTTAAATTAGGGAGGGTGTGCGAGACAAAGATATATTTCAATAACTGCAAGGGTAATTGTGGTATTTGAAAAAAACTAATTACTTATTTATAAATTAGGGATAGAAGTGTTATTTTTTTTTTTCAAGAACGTAGTGCAATTGTAGAATAGTGAAGTCCCAATGTTGTCTCCCTTTTTTTTTTTTTTTTTTTTTTTTGCCTATCTCTAACCCTTCAGTTGCCCTTCATTCTCTCCCTTTTGTCTGCTCCCCACTCCCTCCCATAGGAGTGGGGAGTGCTGATCCTTGCCGCCCGCCCCTTCGTTCTCTTCCTTTTGTCTGCTCCCCACTCCCTCCCATGAGAGTGGGGAGGTGCTAATCCTTGCCGCCCGCCCCTTGGTTCTCTCCCTTGTGTCTGCTCCCCACTATTTAATAAACTCGGGCGTGTTGTAAAAAGTTTGCTCAGTGTGTGGTTTCATGTCGTTTTGCTATTTTTTGCTAAATCTTATCCTATTTAGCTGGTTTTCTAGTTCGACGGGGTGGATCTATTATTTTGTCTCCGGCTAAATCTCTGATCTATGTCAGGTTTTATTGTTCCCACCTTCTTGTGCAGGGTTGGTTGGTTTTTTCCCAATCGTCGGCACCTTGTGGATGCAGCCTTGGAGTTGTTGGGAGGGAGTGGGGAGGTGCTAATCCTTGCCGCCCACCCTTTCGTTCTCTCCTTTCTGTTTGCTCCCCACTACTTAATAAATTCGGGTGTGTTGTAAAAAGTTTGCTCAGTGGGTGGTTTCGCGCCGTTTTACTGTTTTTCTGCTAGATCTTATCCTATTTAGCTGGTTTTCTGGCTCGACAGGGTGGATCTATTATTTTGTCTCCAGCTAGATCTCTGATCTATGTCGGGTTTTGTTATTCCCACCTTCTTGTGCAGGGTTGGGTGGTTTTTCCCCAGTCGTCGGCACCTTGTGGATGCAGCCTTGGGGTTGTTGCCTTGATGATGGCATGACTTTTAGGTCACTTCCGCTTGCTGCTCTTCTCCCCTGGGTGGTTTTCGTGTGTTGGCTTGTTTCTTAACAAATCTAGAGTCTGTTCTTCAGTTTTTTTTCTTTTGCTGCTTCATGATTTGTTTGTCTCTGTATGGCCATTTTTGACAGTGTTAAATATATATATATATATATTGTCTCCCTTTCAATTTTTAGTGGCATTTTAAATTGACAGTCCATAAATGTTAGGGGGCAATTTGCACATAATTTCAAATGTTATGGATTTATATGCACATACTAAATTGTATGAATGTTTTCAAAAAAAAAAATCTTGCGTTTTCTCGACAATTTTTTATATAACAGGGATTTTTTTTTTTTTTTTTTTTTTTTTTTTTTTTTTTTTTGCACTTTACCCAAATAAAACACACTAGTTTAGACATTTCTCTACCCTCAAAAAAAAACCAATCCTTTTGTTGGTGAAACAAAAATATCATTTTATGTCCAGTCCAATTCCATTGGTCGTTGTGTAATTCAGTTTCTTAATTGCATTTTTAAAAAGAAAATCATCTTTAATGGTACGTGTAGAAAAATATGGCCCATCCAAACATGTGTTTTCATCGTGAAATATAGTTTCAAAGATTCCTTAAACAACTATACACAGAGATATGTGGAAAAAAAAACAATTGGTGAAATCTTTAATGATATTGTATAAGGTATGTACCGTATGTTCACCAAAACATTACCATGTAAATTAGCATTCAACGTTGCTTCTAAGACCCAAAAACTTAAAATTGTTGAACGTTGTCGTCTATCCTCTCTTATTGGTCCAAGACCTTATCTGGTCTCGGGATCGAACACATTTTATCAAAACATCTTGCCATAGCAGATCATATTCTTTCTCAGACCTTGTATGCAAGAGCCAAAACAAATAAGGACCAGACATGAACACACACACACATATTGCTTGCTATCTCTCTGAGGCGCATGCTGTGGCTGTAAATATGTGTATGAATACATCACAAATTTCTTTAAGAGGCCACTAGTGTGTCCTAAGAGAGAACCACATTCATCAAATATATATATATATATATATATATATATATATATATATATTCCAGATCATAGTCAATATAGAGATGCTCAGATAGGTACAACAAAGAAAAACAACATGACACAGTCCCAACTCAGAATGACATTGAAATCAAAACACCATCCATCCACTTAAAAGTTGTTAATTTTGAAATTACAAAGAAAAAAAATTCATCTTCGACAATTACACGAAACCAAAGAGAAAACCGAATGATAATTTTATTCTATATACACTAAAGATTACACATCTCACACTAGCACACATCATTTAGGAAGTTCCCGAGACTGATTTTCACACTTGTAAAAGAGGAAAAACTAAAAAAAACACAAAAAAGAGAGACAGAGAGGTGAAGACAATCACATCCCGAATTCAAACGCAATAACTTACCACCTGCTGTGGATATTGTGACACCATACCTTCACATTACTATCTCGGGCTTCAAAATGTTGGATTTGATCTCCTTGTGGGGTAGAACAACACCTCCATTGCTGTATATTTCATCACAGAGATGAACATCTTCTCCGAGAATGGTCATGTTCTCTACGCGAGCCCACTGCCCCACAGTGGAGTGCCAACCTATGATGCTACCAGAAACGCATGCATGTTTCTTGATGCGGACTCCGCGCATTACTGTGCAACGGGAGAGTCTAACTCCTGACTCTACCACACATCCTGGGCCTATTGCAACATCAGGACCAATCAAACATCCTTCCCCAATTTTGGCACTCTCATCCACGAGAACATTTCCTAGAATATGGAGTCCGGTAGCCAATTTAGACGAAGACTTCTTTCTCAAGGAGTCCAGGTAGAGTCTCAGGCCGGAGATGTAATCCCTTGGTTGTCCAATGTCCATCCAAAACCCTGGTAGAACCATACCATAAAGCTTTTTCTCTGCTGCAATTTTTGGAAATACTTCCTTCTCAATTGAAGTGGGCCTCAATTCAATTCGATCAAGAACAGATGGATTCAGCAGGTAAATCCCAGCATTGATCTTGTTACCCACAAATAATTTTGGCTTTTCTACGAATTTCTCAACTTCCCCCGTTGATTCTTCCATAACAACCACACCGTATTTTGATGGTTCATCCACCTATATTAAATCAACAAAAAGGATTCAATCACCATGCTTGACACGAAAATTCAAAATGTCTCCAAAGAAGACAGATCCGGGAATAATCTGATAACATGAAATATTAGGATTCAGATCTACCTTGGTTACCATTATGGAAGCCTCGCCTCCATGGGATTTATGGAAGTCAATCATTTCTTTAAGGGGGTACTCACTGATAACATCACTGTTAAGAACAAAAAATGGCTGACCAGAATCATCTATCAATTTGTCCCTGGCCAGAGCCAAAGGGCCTGCAGTACCGAGTGGTTCAGTCTCTTGTGAACACGTGATCTTGATCCCAACCTTTGTCTCAAATTCCTTTAAAAAGTTCAGCATCACCTGCAGAAATGCTTTTATCCACAAGTGATTCACAAATATACAACTACATCAAACATCTCTGAACAGCAAATAAACTTTGCCGAACACAAAAGGCACCAACTTTTTACCTCCGGTTGGTAATTGATAGCCAGAACCACTTCAGTCACTCCAATAGCCTTGAGAGCCTCAATCTGATATAAATCATAAACACATATTATCAATACATGGTTCACACACACACACAAACAGGATGGAAGCATAAACTGTACTAGAATCAGAGCAGGGATTACTATATTAATAGTCATAATATAAGAATCAGAACAGCGCTTCCTGTAGTAATAGTCATAATGTATTGTAATAATTTCTCCTTAGATGTTGTTCATCTTTTCCAAAAGAACTTGAAATACAACTAATAATAAGATACATCATAAATGGAAATGTTCACAATACTATACAAAATATTTTGATATGCAAAATCAAAAAAAACTACCCCTCATACTGATTTTAAAATTTGAATTCTAAAATTCACTTACTAGATTAACAAACAAAAAAAAACATGTCCATTTAAGACGTTTAAATTTTGCAGAAACCACTTGTTTCATGATCATAGACCTTAAGAAATAATGAAGAAACGCCAACTTTTGAAAAGAAAACAGAATTATAATATTAAAACACCTAAAAGAGAAGCAGACAAACAATAAGTGTGCTTCAAGTTTATCAATATAGAAATTGAACTAAGAAAATGGAAATGGTGACAAAATTATACCTGATGCAGGATCATGGGTTTGTTAGCAAAATCAACAAGTGGCTTTGGGACACTCAGTGTCAATGGCCTCAACCGAGTTCCAAACCCTCCAACGAGAATAAGTGCCTTCATAGTGAGATGCCCTTGCTTATCCTGTTGATTAAACAATCAGAATCTAAGCAATTTTATCACAAACAAACAGAAATGCAACTAAATACGGTTAGCTAATATATTTCCACCACCTTCATATTTTTTCATGCCAAAAGGTAGAAGGATGCACTCCAATGGGACTCCACGTTGAAATTTATAGATTGAAAAAATAATAAACAAGTTGAAAAAGAAAGGACTGGTGTTAGATTGAGAAAGACTTAAATCCACCAGATGCAAGGAAGAGGGAGGAACGACAGTCTATACAGGAGTGAGCAGAAAGAAAGGACCAAGAAAATTAATGCCACTTGAAGGAAACGGCCAAAAGATATGAACAGGTGTCATACGATTAATCATAATGCTGAACACAGTCAATGAAATCCGTCCAAATGGTTTAGCTGGTATAAGGAAACAAATTCCAACAATTCATTTAATTTTAATATGGTTTATTCTATATAAAACACCAGAATCTAGTGGCAAGTTAACTATTACTTCAAATCGCAGATGGTTTAATCTAATTTCAATGTAAAGATACTTCTCCTTTCTTGCATAAAGCCAAAAGATTTGCAATGAATATCAAAATTATCAGTAAAACTGCTGAAGCATCTTTACCCCCAAAAGAGCAAAACTTATCAAAGCCTCGTTACTATTATGTGGATTCGGCTAAGCAAATCTTGCTTCTGAGATCCACACATTTCCAAGATAAGCACTAGCTACCATCATTTTTCCTTTCAAATTTTTGTTTCCCCCTTTTTCTTCTTCCTAAGAAGCCACCGAAATCACTTGACAGACAAAATTTGAATTGGTATCGGGCCGTTCAGAAAGCACAAACAGTTCAAGGGGGTCTACTATCTGATTCTCCCAGACACATAACTAAAAGATTAAGTAGCAGTAAACATGAAAATCATAATTGTTTGAAAGCAGCAACTTCCTAGCTAAAACTTCTGGTCCGTAGTTTCCAATGAAAGCACGTCTCCGAAAGCAGCAAGACACAGTCACCATGAAACTTAACAAAACCATATAACTACAGCCTACAAAGGGTGTGTGAAATTTGTTTTGCCACACATCATATTACCTGAATACAATTCAAAGCAATAGTCACCGATTTCAACTACTGGAAAATGGGTAATGTTAAAGATCAAATGAGTGATTTAATTGGATCATAAGAATGGAATTTCATAAATTTTCTCTCTCTTAAATCGATTCCCTCTCTTAAGTTGCCTCATAAACACATCACTAGCAACAACTAGGAAAAAGCTTAATAACTGCAAAATCTAACAACATATGCAATACACAATCAAACGATTACACTGAAATTGAGGATAAAAGGTCAAAATTCTTAGAAGAATCCAAACATGCATTGAAATTGTCCCATGTTGTATATATCAGATGTTCAGAATAAGACAACTTAGTGATTACAGTCAAAATTACTATCATATCCTAATTACGTTGTCAAAGTTCTCTGAAGATCTACAAGAAAAGAAAGCATTGGAAAAACATCGAAGGATATATATACACAAACATCAATCGTTTGACTGTAACTAATAAACTTCAATATATATATATATATATATATACACACACAAACATCAATCAAATAAAAATAATAATAAAAAAAAAAAATAACTAATATATCTCTTTGACTAAAATCATACCAAGATCAATAACAAGAGAATTTACCTTTATCAACCCTTAACAGTTTCTTCAGAGACCGTGGAGACGTAGCAAGGACGTCGGTGGAACAATATATACACCCATAAAAACAGATTAACGCGTAGTTTGGCTGATTCCAAAAATTAATTAGACTTCCCTTTACAGATTCGAAGAAATCGATTCACGTCCAAACAGGGTAAAGCTTTTTCGTCATCTAATCTAATTTGACCTTCAACAGGATTCAACCTACATATTTCAAATGATGACAAACTTTTTATTATTATTATTATTTTTAAATATTTTTATTTAAATCATAATTTATTGTCATTTTCTGATTTTTTTTTTTTCCTTCAAAATTTATAATAGGTCCGTTTGGTTAGTCTAGAGTAACTAGAACAAAAAAGAAACAGAAAATATTTTTAAAAATTAGAAATTTAGTTAGCGTGAAAAACTAAACTAATAATTATACTTTTGGACTTCAAACAACTACAAACTAATAATTCACAATGGCAATAACTAGTTCATTTTTTCTCTAGGTGTTCCATATAACTACGGAGTATATACTAACAATTTTCTCATTATTTTTCAACTGGGTTTCAAACAACTGTAAACCAAACAATTTTGCCGACTAACAACAATTTCAGCGTTTTTTCTACTGGGTCCAAAGGAAGGCAGACGAAAAACAACTGCATCATTTTTTTTTACCGAGTTTCAAATGTCTGTACGTTGAGATTTTTGAGGTTTGTGTTGGTAGGTTTGAGATTTTTTATAATTTTTATATAGCGGTTAGAGGGGGGAGTTAGGAATTAAATCTAAAGGGGTGGTGTAAAAAAAAAAAAAAATTTCCATAAACATGATAGCAAATATAAATAGAAAAAAATTAGTTGCAAAATAATATATAGCATAAGAAAGATAAATAATTGACAAAAAAAAAAAAATAATAATAATAATAATAATAATAATGAGAGAACTTTGAAAGGAAAAAAAATTAAAAAATTGGTTTCAAAAAGAAAATTTAACTTTTTTTTAAAGAAATAAAAAATAATCTTAAAAAATAAAATTTTAGGAAGGCATTATATGATTTTTTTTATATATATACATAAAAATAAATAAATTTAGTATATATATAATAGACAGGGCCGGGGCATATGCTCGAGCATTAATTAGCTTCTTAACAATGTTTGTATGATGTTTTTTATTTTGTACTTAAAAAATTAGGGAAGAAGAAGAAGAACTCCGCTGTCTTTTACTGTCCCAATTAATAAGGACTTCATTTCCTTATATTGTTTTTTATAAGATATGAAAATTAAATAAATACTGGTTTATAGGTCCAAATTAACTTGAAAATTTTATTATTTTATATAAATATTACTATTGATTATTTCTTTACTTAGTGATAGCACTATACTTAAATTCATTTACTTACAAAATCACTGAAGTATAAAATTTCTCTTAACTTGTATAAATTTATATTCATGTACTCCATGACGGGTCAAAAAACCCTAAAAATAAGAAATTAACAATAGGCTATACAATTGGGTATAGAATTATAATAAAAGTAATTTAAATAATGTAACAATCATTACCTTAGCCAGATATAATATTGTCTGTTTTTTGTTCTTCCGAACAAGAGACTTCTCAGAGTCACTCATCCTCATACTATTTCAGGTTAAACACGTTCAGTGTTTTCATAGTTCTGGTAAATTCGCATTATATTATAGAAGGGTGTTAAATTTACATATAACACTTGCCCCATCCATACCTAGGCGATGTAAGATTGTGCACATGTAGCTCGCTCAGTGTAGTAGTCTACTGGCACCACCTGCACATGTTCACACACATTCGCCCACAAGATAATCACAATCACCTCCCTTTGGAGCCTAACATCCTCAATGACCATACTTCTGACTGGGTCAGGCTCTCATACTATTTGTAACAACCCTCACTACAGTCGGACATAATATTATTCGCTTTTGGCTCCCTTGGACCAGAGATTTCCCAGGGGTCACCCATCTAATATTACTCTAAGTTAAATTTTGGTAGGTTCACGGCTATCACGGCTTTAAAACGTAGCATTTGTCTTATCTACGCTTAGACGATATAAAATTGTACATCTATAGCTCGCCCAATGTAATAGCCTATTGGTTCTATTTGCACACACTCACACACGCCCACAAGATCGCCACAGATGAGTAGAAATAATTTATAACAACTTTCATGTTTTCCAAATTATAAAATGACATTTTCTTATAATTTTTTTTGAAAAAAAAAATTAATGGTAAACATTCTAGGAATTTAATTTTCTTTTTATTGGACTTTACTTTTCTTTTAATTTTTGGTTTATTTTCTTTTCTTGTTAGTTCTTTTCTTCTTTCTAGCCACTACCAAGCCTACACAGCTTACCTAAGCAAACTATATAATAAATTTTTTTTAATATATATATATATATTTACTATTGGATCTGAACTCGGATGCAATGGGCCCGAATGTCCATCCATCCGTGGAGCATGAAAGGGTTGTTGGGCTTAAAGAAAGAGTTAGGCCTTGTGTTTTGGATTACGGAGGTGGGTTAAGAACCAACCGCTTAGTTTGAGTTTGGACAGAAGTAAGCCCACGTCTTATTAACCAAAGCGGGTATTGATAAAAAACGAAAAAAAAAAAAAAACAAAGCGGGTTTTGTTAAACCCTTCTTCTTCAACTGAATATATATAAAACCTAGGTGTTACAGGTGCGCGGCGAAATTCTGAACATACAGGGAAGAAGCAGCACACACTCATTATACACACACACACCGTGACATATACACATGTAGATATTTATCTTCAAACCTTCTGAAGTCCACACTTGCCAATGGCGACATCGTCGGACGCTCATGCCGTCAAGTCTCTCAACCAAAGTTTCGGCCGCAGGCGCTTTGTTGTAAGCTCTCTCACTAAAACCCTAGGCCTTTGTTTGGTTTCATAGAAAATTTAGGAAAATAAGTGGATGGAAAATGGGCGTGAGGGTCAAATCCCCGTCCTCGCGTATTGTTTCCTCTCTATCAGTACTCGGGTCATCCCTAGGAGTACTCAATAGAGGAACTGGGTGAAAAACATGTGGTGCTGGATTGGCTGGCTAGCCAATTTATGTGTCACCGCCCTGTCCGTACCAGACAACTTTTCATTTATGGGGAGACGAATTCCCAAAAGACGGTATTCTTTGATCTTCTTGGGAAATCCCAAGGTTCTAGAAAGTGTGGAGCAGAGAGGAGACCCAAGAGACCACAAGAATCTAGGCATTTGGGGCAACTAGTAAGGGCTCTCTAGAAAGCACCCGGCAACCCATGTATAACCGCTGAGGCGGTACCGCTCCTTGCCAGGATGTTTTTCTTCAATTCTTACTAAACAATAATTCCCCCCGCCCCCCCCCCCCCCCCCCCCCCCCCCCCACTTTATTTTATTTTATTTTATTTTAAATTATCAGTTGGTCTTGAAGTGTTTGGTATTGGGTTATATGTGCAGTTCAAGACATTATCGCAGAAGATTGAAGAAATTGAAATTGATGTCTTTCGAAGTCTTGATCCTCTAAAAGCTGACCCCTCTAAAGGCTCCTCGTTTTTTCGCGACTGCCTTGTTCAATGGAGGGTATGCCATATTATGCATCTATTTGATTTTTTATTTTTATTTTTATTTTATTTTTTATTTTTATATCCTATGCCTCAGATACACACACACACGCATATTGATTTCATAGTAGGTTGTTGTAATTGGTCATAATAGGATGAAACTTGTGCAGCAATAGATGTTAATTTAATCTTGTGCAGCAATAGATGTTAAATACGAAACTTCAATTAGGTGGACTTTAATTTAAAATTAGTTATTAATTAGATTTTAATATATTTTTTAAACTTAAAAGATTAAATATTATTTAACTAGGAATGAATCAGGATTCAAGAAACTTTAATCTTGGTTAGAAAGCTTAGATTTTGAGTTTAAGTTGAAAACCAATGAAAAGTTGATTTTTAATAAGGATTTCGTTTAGTGAAAACTGATATCTGTGTTTTCAGAAAATCATTAAAAACAAAATATGTGGAAGTTTGTGATGAAATTTATATATTCAGAAACTAGACTCGATAAACTTTCAGATAATATATGGCTAATTTCAAGTCCGTTTGACCCCTCACTCAAAAGTATCTTTAGTTATGTTATGTGCATTCAGGTTCAGTTGCAGTAGAATCGATCAAAATTATTTCAGAATGGCTCGATTGAAAGATTGATTTATCGAACCGATGTTGGAGTCGGCAAAGTACACATCTCTCTGAATTGGTTTATGAACTTTCCAAAACATTCCTAATCAAGGTGTCCTAGGGTTCTCAAAACATAAGAGATACATAAGAGACAGAACTTCACAATAATAAGAGATTGAGAGCTTTATTTTTCAGTCACAAGTGAGGTTTTTCTTAGAATACTCTATTATATTGTGTGATTGAGTTCTAAAGCAAGGAGGTTCATTAAATGTTTGAAGATTGATTAACCACGACATCCACATATAAAACAAAAGCCTGGATTACTAGTTATGGAGATCAATGTGGTTGTGAAAAAGCGAATCATGTGAAGGTAATTAGGGGTTCCTTAGGATTTGGGAAATTGTAACCAAGATGTATAATAAATTCCGGAAAAAAAGAACGAGTTGTATAATCTCTTTCTCATAGTGGTTTTAATTTGCCTGTGCTAGGTCTCGTGATTTTTTCCATTAGGGTTTTCCATGTAAAAGTCGGTATTTTTGTGTAGATGTTTTGTGCTCTATACTTCTGCATGATGCTTATTTTTGCATGCTTATTGATAATAATTAAACTTCAGTAAATTGTGATAGTTGAAATTTGAAATATAGGTTAAAGTTCGTTGATTGTTAAGTAAGACCTATTCACTTCCTAGTCTAATTGGGCATTGTGTACTTACATATAAGTGCCTTGGTTAACGCCTTAACGGTCCTATATATTTCATTGCTAGGGTTTCAGTAACTCTATTTTATTTGGTAAAGTGAAAGTTCAATGAATTTAATTATTGTTATTGTTACATTTTCTTGTTTATCTGTTAACTTCATTCACAACCCTCCTGTCTCCCTCTCTCTCTCTCTCTCCACCCCCACCCTGTGATGTTAGGTTCTGGTTATGTGTGGCTACCCTAGCAATTTAGGGGCTTCTAGGCTATCTATAGCACAATGGATTGAGTCAATTATTGTTGGAAGTCTGAACAAACCCTCTTGCAAAAGATTTTTGATATTTATTCTCGATGGAACCTTTTCATTTCTTTTTCTGTATTTACTCCAGGAATTGAATACGGCAGAGGATTTTATTTCGTTTTATGAGGAAATAATGCCTTCTGTACAAACATTACCGCAAGTGATATTGCACAAGGAATTGATTATCTCAAAGCTTCTTTCTAGATTGCAGCTGAAAGGAAGATTGTCGCTTGAGCCCATACTCAGGTATTTCAGCATATTCTGCATTGTTTTATGGGGTGCTGGAATTGATGATGCCATATGAAAAAAGCATGTATGAGAATATGTTAGTTTCATATTTGTAATATTGTTTACCATATTTTTTTTCAATGACTGCAACTGAATACTGAAAATATTACCCATCCTTTTTCTGAATTTATGCTGCCACAATGACCAATGAATGCCATCAGTTAACAACAACAGAAGAAATTGATAGCCTGTAGCCGTAGGTACAACTTTCTTCAGCATGGAAAAAAAAGGTATAATAGTGAAAAAAATTCAAATGAAGTGGCAACAGTAAAAAAATCTAATTATATTTAGGAATGGAAGCACTATACGTGAAGGTTACATCCAGTAGGTGCTTGGATAAGAAGAGATGAATTACAAATGCATAAAAATACACATACATGATACATACATATCTACATATATAGACACACTTAAATACATGTGTGCATAGGCTTTCTCTTCGTGGTATTGTTGTCTTGATTGTAAGAAATTTACTGCTGATGTCTCATTGTAGTGGCCTTGTACATGCTGTATAGCCATGCGACACTATAGCACTGTGTTGATATCTGAATTTGATCAACAAGTTTTGATAGTGTAGTAAGCTCATTTATCAAGTTGCTCCATCTGCTAATGGAGTTTTTCTCATCTTTAATAGAGAATGTCTTGTTACATGTCAAGAGGACAGTTTTTTACAAGTAATTTGAGTCTTACATTAAAATATATGCTTCTTATTTTGACCTATTCCTTTTCATTATACCTTTTTTTAATGGTAAAATATTTTGTATCGACAGGTTGATTCCAGCATTATCTAGAGATCTCCTGGAGGATTTCATCCCGTGAGTTCCTTCTTCATTATATTGATCATACTTAAGGCTGTTAGGCTTTAAGTTTTATTCCGTCGTCATCTCTAGTTTTCTACATAGTTGCTTTTTTTGTTTGTTTTGTTTTGTTTTGTTTTGTTTTTTGCTGTCGTCGTCGTCGTTGTTGCGGGTGGGGGGAGTTCTTATAATTTTTTGCCTTCTTTAAAGATGTTTGGCTATCTCATGCGCTGCAAGTCTGTGTCTAGTTTCATGTTCATATGGGATTACAAATATGTACTAAGTTTTACATGGATGGGCCTATCATTAGAATGTAGATTGTAGAGATTGAGAATTAAATTCACAAATGCTGAGACCTACAATCATGGATGCCTCTCAGCAAATTGTTCGTTCATGGTCGTTGGTCTAGGCATCTGGATTTTGAACCATCTCTTGGCCCCAGAAATGATTTCAACTTACATTTTTCCAATCCTAACTTTCTTAATAGTCTTCAAGATGGTTTGGAGGCATGGGAGTTAGACTTTATGATTTTTAAAAATTATGACGTTGTGTCTGTCCCTGGCTAGTCTAGGAGGCTCCCGAGGGGCTGAACCGTCGAGTGGCTGTGTTGGATGCCTAGATTGTTGAGTTGGAACTCCTTTCCCAATAAGTTATAAAATAAGTTATTTAAATATAAATGCTCTTGGGTCGCGTTCCCCTTTTGAACGCTTTCTAATACATTTTTACTTATCAAAAAAAAAAAAAAAGTTATTTAAATATAAATATTCTTTGTAATTATTATTAGTATTTATTACTTATTATTTATTATTTTTGTAGAAATGTTGAATGTAGTTTTCTGTTTGGTTAACTCTTTTTGTATACTTGAATGTTGCCAGCTTTCTGCAGGAGATTGCCAATTCTTTCGTATGTCTTCTCAAAAGTGGTGCTGATAGGGAACCAGAAATAATCGAGCAGGTCTAAGTAATAATGATTGCCTGAAGTTGTCCAGTTGTCAACATTCTAGGAATTTTGTTGTTTTCATTTTCTTGTTTGACATAATTGATGTGATTTCTGAAACTGTTACCTTTTTTATACAGGTTTTTACATCATGGTCCTATATTATGATGTATTTGCAGAAATATCTTGTACGAGACATCGTTTTTGTTCTCAAGTGAGTAAATTTCATTTATATTATTGTTATTTTATCTTTAGACAACATGCAGAAAGTATGTGAAATTGTTTGTGCAATATCCAAGAATCTTATAGGTATTTATTAAAGAGGTGGAGAATTGATGGAGAACTGTTGAAAGATATAAAAATTGAAGAAAGAAATTAAACACGAGGAACACAAGGAAAGACACACAAAACCCAAAGGGCTACATCACCCTTATTATATTCTCTCTTAAGATTGTTTACAATGAGCACCTCTATTTATAGGTGAAAGAACAAAGCGATAAATGTGGAAAATACATTAATGAAGGATTCATAAAATTAATCCCACAAATCACTCCAATCATATTTTATCATATACTAAAATCACTTCCACAATATTCTCAGAGCAATATTCTGTGGAGTAATTTAAGGTTCCTATAATAATATTCTCCAACAGCCTCCCTCAAGTTGGTACACGGAGATTTTAACTCAAGTGTCCAACTTGAAACGAAGTACGAAGTTGTTGAGAGTCCGAAAGGAGTTGCAAAGATCCGAGACGAGTTGATCCGAAGATCCGAGACGAGTTGATCCGTAGATCTGAGACGAGTAGAGTATAGAGTATGGTATGATAAACCTGCTCGGATACCATGTTGAAAGATATAAAAATTGAAGAGAGAAATTAAACATGAGGAATACAAGGAAAGACACACAAAGCCCAAAGGGCTACATCACCGTTATTATATTCTCTCTTAAGATTGTTTACAATGAACGCCTCTATTTATAGGTGAAAGAACAAAGCGATAAATACGGAAAATACATCAATGAAGGATTTCTAAAATCAATCCCATAAATCACTCCAATCATATTTTATCATATACTAAAATCACTCCCACAATATTCTCAGAGCAATATTCTGTGGAGTAATTTAAGGTTCCTATAATAATATTCTCCAACAAGAACAATGTGCGAAATCCAAGGACTTCAGTAACCTTGAATGTGTTCTGAAAATGATGAGGAACAACAATAGACTTAAGGATGGTAATTTTATTTTTCTTTTATTTTTATTTTTTTATTTTATTTTTTATTTTATCAATAAGAGGGAATTTACAAGAAGTGCATTATTCCCTAAAATCATGAAATGGTCTAACAAATTGCTCTTGAAGAGGCTGAGGCTTCTTCTGTAAAGAACTCTTTATCAAGATACTGTGAGCTTCTACCCCACAATTGTCTTATGTCATGTAGGTAATTCCCGCTGTCAATAATTGGCATCTCAGATCCTTATAAATGTAAAATTGACTCTATGTTGTGTCGGATACCTATTTGTATATATCCACCTCTGTTTTCACCGCTTTCAATTTCAATATTTGTACCAAGAGTTATCAACCATAGCCTCACTCCATGATCCATTGCCCGTCAGCATTTCGTTCGGATAGAGGTTACCAACTGCAGAAAGTACTGGATGACAATTAGATGATGCCTTGCCATTACATAACCATTGTCAAAGTTGTACTTTCTTTCCTACTCTAACCTGCAGGTTGTTGATTTGCACACAAGCTCAAATATATAGTTATGCATATAATGTAAATTATGTAACAAATTCACAAATGGACATACTTGTGCAGGTTTATTTACCTCACTCAATCACAAAAACCACAGAATATGGATATAACATGAGGTGCACCTCGTGTTAATTTTGGCTTATAATAAACTGCAAAATCTGTTGCATCCCTTTGCTTGCTATTGTTCCACCTTTAGGAATCTAATGGGAACATATTTTGATTTCCTTTATCCTAATTATAATAATTTAATTATGTTGTTGTTCTGCATCATAATATGGACCTTGGTTCATGGAAAATGTTTCTTAAAGGTATTTTGAAGCTTGATGACCTGAAATGTCAGTTGGATTTTATGGTCCCTGTTATATTAGTAGGACTTAGGTTGACAAATTTTGGTGTCTAACGATTTTAAGTCTGAATTTTTTATTTTATTTTATTTAGATAGCCCCGGTTCCACTTTTGTATAAGGGACGCATTCCCCTTTTGAATGCCTATTTATGTTATTATTACTTATCAAAAAAAAAAAAGGTAGCCTTTTGAATTTAAGTTAGAGTTAGTTGGCTACCTCTTGTCCAAGGGTAAATTTGGAATTCAAACCTATATTCAAGGGAAAAAGGTAAATTATCACTCTTACATGCACTCACCAATCAGGATTCATGCATCCATCAATTAGACTTTCATGTTTTCCATGTTTGCTCCAGAAAATTCCCTTTTTGATATGTATTAAAGTGTTTCTGGAAACTTCTTAAAATTAATATCCTATTTGAAGAAGGACATGACACTTTGATCGATTGAAGGATCAGTTGAAGACAACTAACCTAGTGTCAATTGATCGATTGTGCTACGTGATCTCTAAGTTTCCTTTTCAAGTTAAATCAATTAAAATTCTAGTGTTTTTATGATTCTAAACTCTATAGAAAGACCTCTGTTGTTCATAATTGCTACACATTTTATATACAATTGTCTCTTAGCATTTAGAATCATTTGAGAGTGCATTATTGAAATTCTCTGAAAGTTAAAAGCTTGTAAAGTATGGAAAGGATTCTTCTACCACTTTTCTGCACTATTTGCTTTGATTTGTATTATATATATATATATATATATATATATATTTTTTTTATTTTTTATTTTACCGTCTCAATTATGGTATGACATTTCATTTATTTTGTGCTTAAATCTGTTAGTATTCATTCATTTAGTATAAAAAATTATTACTAAGCATTTTAATAAGGACGACGATGACAGAATTTATAAATAGGTCACTAATTGTGTTAAATGATCTTCAAAAATTCAATAAAATTCACTATAAATCCGATTTTATTGAAATTATGTTGTAAAAAGTAGCATACTTGTGCATTTCGGGTGTTATGTCCGCATTGGCAACTGCGACCTTGAACTATGCTTTGTTTGCATGTGCATGAATGTCTATCAATTTAACTTTGGTGTTTTAGATTGCTAATATGTCAATTTTTGCGCTTTCTTGAAGAGTTACAGCAAGGCTAAGATACTACCCCAAAGAATATGTCCAAGAATTTATGGCAGAGGCAGTGTCATTCTTGTTAAGGAATGCACCAGTAAAGCAGCTTATAAAAGGTATTTTTATTTTTTATAAATAGCTTAGAAAAGGTATTTTAACCTTTTGTGTTTTCATTTTTGTACCTTATTGAAATTTTTTTATTCATTTTTCTTTCATCTATTAAGCATTATTTGACTAATTATGTTATATATATATATTCCCATTAAATGTGGTGACTTTCTGCTACGTATATATTGGATCTCAAGTCTTGTGCTGGTTTTTCTGTCTGCCTTTACTAGCTTTATATTTTTTTAGCATGAATTTGTCAAGTAGAATTATGAACTTCGCCATAGGATTTGTGTCATCCTGTTCGAGGACGGCCGAAGTGTTGTAATTTCTCAAGAAGTCCATGGTGAGAACTTTGTTTTGTTTACTGTGTAATAGTTACTATTTTTTTTGTGGCCTGGAAGTGGATGGTAGGGGAGAAAAAAAAGGAGCGACGGTAAGACAAGCATATTGTAGATCTCGACATGCTTGTAATTATAGTCAAACTGAAACATTTGCTTTTGAATTGGGTTTGTCAATTTGAAATGCGGAGGTTTTGATTTCGGATTTGGGACCTATTGGTCTTGAAAATTTGGAGTGAAAATAAATTACAGTTACCCTCTTTCCACCCATGGCAACTGCTTTGAATGAAGAGCATCAACCATTTTTCTTGTTCCTGTACTGAGAAAAACTCTCCTAGGTTACTCATCTGGTACTTTAATCATCATAATCATCATCATTTTTGCCTTATTCCCATATGGATGAGGTAGGCTACATGAATTCTCCTTTTTAATTCTTTCCTATTGTATACCACATCCTCTCTTAGATTTAATTTTTTAAAATCGTTTTCAATTACTTCCTTTAAACACCCTTTATATTGTGACCACATCTCATCCTGACAGATATGCTTTGATGGCTACAAAATGACCTTAGTAAATCACAGTTTCTAATTTTCTGAGTTGAGGTGTCGAGACTCATTTTTGAAGTTAAAGGTCTTCAAATAATGCGGGTCGGATAAAGTTGGGACATTTCTGCTCAGGAATTTGGTTATTAAAACTGACATGTTTCCATTGTAAAAGAATGTTATGTTTGTAATTGTATGAGGTGTTCAATCAGTAGGATAGGAAACTATTGGGGGTTTATGGTATCTTTGTAAACTTGTTGATACTTGAAGCATTTATGCCAAATTTAACGAGGCTCTCTCAAGTAATTCAGTGTTTAAGCCGACTGTTCACGATGTTTATATCTGTGCAATTTGAAATATGTTAACTCAGCGAGTCAGGACTAGTGTTTTAATTACATGAATATAAAACATCTCCGATATATTTTTTTTTTTTCGCTTTTGATTTGTCTGAAAATCAAGAACGAAATACTGTTGCTATAAAACTTAGTAGTAAATTCCACCTTAATGGGCAATTTTGACACCTTTGATTGATATCACTCTCTCTCTCTCTCTCTCTCTCTCTCTCTCTCTCTCTCTCTCTCTCCATGTTCAAAAGTTATTCAAATGAGAGAGGGGGCCCACTTTAACTGTGTAAAAGGAATTACCTGGATCCAAGAAACAAGGCAATCTCATTCTTAATCAGTAAACTTGCTTGTTATTAGGCCTCCCTAACAATTTATTTATTTATTTTTTGACAAGTAAAATTTCATTATAAGTACTCAAGAGGGGAGCGCATCCCAAGAAACTACACAAGGGCAAAGTGTAAAGACGCCCACTATACAAGCAACGTTGCCTCCCTAACAATATTGACACATTCCTATATGTGTTGCATCATATTTCATGATTGCGGTGCATGGGAATTTCATTTAGTTCTTTGCCACCCCTCCCAAAACACACACACAATTTATTTGAGAGAGTCAAATAGGAACAAGAAATAGAAACAATTATTTATTTTATAAGAGTGCTGAAATTCAAAATTAAAGAGACTTCCCTTAAGGCTGAAATGCAAAGCGAATCAAGCCAACACCTCCAGAAACCTCCTCCTTATCATGTTACCTATATAATGACCCTATATGTAATTCTCCTTGAGCTAGACGTCGTCTACCTTTGGTTTACTGATTTAGGAACCATGCAATGTTAATGTCCTTTTCATTGTTCAAGATATCCATCTACCCAAGCAGATGAGTCTTACACCAAAGGCGAAGGATGTGGGCTTCTTGCAGTTGACCATCCACCAAAAGAAAGGAGTTTCTACTAAGCATGAGGCCTGTCATTTTTTGTGGCACGGAAGCAGAATTCTTCTTGGGCATTATAATCTTGATCTGAACTGTCAATCCCTAGTTCAAATTCATCTTGATAGCTATTGGAGGAGGGGGCTTCCAAAAGGCTGGAATCGGTGATGAGTTGAGAAGGCTGAAGTGGTCACTCAATAGCCGATGATGTTGCTACGACATATGCTGACAAACTCAAGGGATGATTAAAACATGGGAGAGCTTAGAAGTTGAACATCTATTTGGCTTGTTGAATGAATATTAAAATAGCTGTTGTCAGAAAACCCTCCTATTCCATTCTTTCCCGATTGAAATGTTGGCATCAAGGCTTCCAAATTTCCGTAGCACTTCTCCTTGTATCTCAAAGCCTAAGGACATGCAAAAAAAGTGAACAGATTCAAAAAGGATTCCACCTAGTGCTAGATTTGCTAGATGGAAGAGACCAAAATGTCTCATGAAGGAGTAATGCAATTGTCTCAGTGGCAGACCTGTGATGATGCTAACTCTGATGAAATGTAGTCAACTGTTTGACATTCGCTAGATCAAGTTGCTTGCATCAATGTCCTTAATATATCAAAAGCAGTTTCAGCATGTTCAACTGATTTCATGTTGTCTTACTTTTTTGCAATGCAAGTGAGTGCATGTGTACTATATTGGTACGGAGTTCGCATTTATATAGCATGTCCTTGTTTTTTTCTATTCCGTCCCTTTTCTATTGTGCTCATTGGTATCGGTATGCATTAATCATGCAGAATCAAATCCTTGGGTAAGTACATATGTAGAAGCATGCACCAGGATATGAGCAAAAACATATGTCTAGAAGTGTCAGTTTTTTTGCCTCTGGGCCATCTAATTGGATATACAATTAAAAGTGTTGTATACACGAGCCATGAAAAATAGATGTATGTGTACCATATTGGTACTAAGTTCGCATTTATTTAGCACGTCCATGTTTTTCTTCTATTCTCTCTCTCTCTCTCTCGTGTTCATCTTTATTGGTTGATATTAATCATACTGAATTCCATCTTATGTAAGTATATATGTTGAAGCATGCAAAAGTTTAATATTGGTGGTAAATTCATCGAGTTTAATTCCTGTTACATGACTTTCAAAAGTTAACAATCACTGAAATTCAACAGGTATTAGAAAAGTCATGTTTGAAGTTGTGAAGAAACCAATTGAGATGAGAAAGTCTGGTGTCAGTGCTCTATTATGGTATGTTATGAGAGGAACTTCGTCACGGTTGCATTCAAGAGCAGAGCAAGTGCTTCGGTTATTGATGGACAAGTCAATATTTAGTATTGGCGATAAATTCGCCCAAGGCAAGCTCTTTCCTGAGTCAACAATGCTGTTTTACTTTTATTTTTAATTTTTTATATCCTGGCAAATAACTCCCACAATGCTCTTTGGGAGGCTTGAGCCCTCTACCTTTCACTTTGGAAGGAGAAAATACAACTGGGCCGCAAGACTTGGTATTTATATGTTCTTTTAAGATGTTACTCATTTGTATACGTTGCTGCTGTTCTATGCTTTGGTATCTTTTGTCGTTTTAGATTCATTTAGTCTTAAATCCAATCTAATTACTTTTCTGGAATAATCTCCACCAGTCAGTTTCCTTTATCTAAAAACCGTTTGTTTCATATTTTAAACTTTAATAAATAGCATATTTTTGTACATTAGGGAGCGGGGCCAGAATTAGCAACATCAAATAATGGCCACAACGCAGTATGTTAGTGAGGCAGAAAAGAAAGACTGCTGGATCTTAACAGTTTTAAAGACAAAATTAAACATTTGTTTGTTAGACTTATCATTCAAACTCCCAGGAAAATGGTTTGGACTCTTCCTCAGTATAGTTCACAAAATTTTGGTTGTTCTTTTTCATTTCCTGTTACTTGATAATTTCTTGAAGCACAAATTCCACTTCTTTTTTTCCCTGAATAAATTCCTATTTGTATGGTCCCAAATTATTTTCACAGCATAGTCCGTTTTATGTTAATCATGAAGTAATCGTTTCTAGACATCTCTGGTAGCTGACTAGCAGATGGCAGTAATAAATAAGAAAAAGAAGGTTGTGGGCTGAAAGTTGAAACTTAATAAAAATAACGGCGTTACATGATTTGAGCTTAAAGTTGACGTTCAATAGGGATCTGTTCTCTCCGCCCCGCCCCTTAATTGGTGCTCTGAAACAGCTTGGTTATATGGTCTATTGGAATCTGTAGGTTGACAACTTGATCTTTTTATTATGCCAAAAGTTTTTGGAAGTTCTGTACATACTTTGAACTGCTACTTGCTTTGGTTCTGAGTGTTTTCGTGTGTGTGTGTGTGTGTGCAGGTTCAGACACCGTTCTTGAAGTTGTGATTTCTGCCTTCAAAAGTTTGTGTGAGGAGTTAGAGCCTACAGAATTAAGTTTGATGTGGATTTGCTTATACGAGGAAATTACTCATCATGTAACTAATGGTTGCAATTTGCACCTCAGTCACCTGTTGTCCCTGCTTATTTCTACCGTACAAAATGATTATGTTCGGAAAATTTGTGGTAGGCTTTAAAGTAATTTTGAATTGTTGGTTCCTTATTCTGCTTTCTAATTGCTTTAGATTAATAACATTGAAATTGGTTTGCCTTTTGTACTGACATCTGAAGAGGTTTCTGTTTGTTGTACAGATTTACAGCCGATGCTTCAGCTTGTCGGTTTACTTGTCCGGACATTCATCATGCCTTCTAGAATGGTGGAGGCAGAGGACCAACCATCTGAAGTTGTTGACAAGGTTCTGCAGTTAATTGTTCACATTGCTGATAATAAGTCAGATCTCTCCAGTGTTTCATTTCAATGGGCTCCGGTGTTCGAGTTGAGGAATTCGAGGTATATCTTTCCATGTAATGGTTGGTGTGGTTCTATAAATATATTTTTTATTCCCCCCCCAACCCACGCGCACAATTATTATTTATTTGACATGTATGTGGCTTAAATTTCAGTTTGCTGACTTTTATTAAGCAACTGCTACTGAAGGACCCTTTCATACTCCATCCATTTAGAATTAATATTATAAGGTAACATTGATTATGTCATTATATTTTATGTGGAATGCTTGTGATTGATTCCCCCCTAACTTTTTGTTAGCTTTTCCATTTGGTTCCAGTGCACTGAGTGATCTCATTGAGAAGTCAGAGGAAGAAGTTATATATTTGATTCTTATTTTCTGCGAGGGATTGCAAATTAAATTGCAAAGCTCTGGCTTCTTAGATGGCACATCTAAAGAGGCAGTTTCAAGGATTTGCCGTTTCTTGCATGAGAGTATTAACTATTGGATTGGGTTGATCAATGATATTGTACATGGGGATCAATCATCTATTCAGCTTCAGGAGACAAAGTTGGCTATGCTTTGGGGAGTCATTAGCTGCTACCCTTATGTGGTAGACGTCCAGGAAAATCCATACTTATTATTGAACTTGGTAGATGCAATTGATCGGCTTCTGATGACTGAATCTGGTAAGGCATGTCATTTAGTTTCAGGCTGATGCAGTATGTACTTTCTGAGAATTCCAATGTCATGTTCTATTTTAATCAATAATATCCAACATGAATAACTTATATCTATATGACCATACAGTTCTTAGGATCCATCATTTAATTGTATCCCTGGGAAGTGAATTCTGTTTTAGATATTGGAACTTAATGCCTGAATCGATAATTTTCAGATATTTACACACATCACACACATATTTTTGAATCCTTGATTTACTTTGATAGGGTCGTATGCCTATAGCGTTGCTTGTTTATAGAAGTTTGTAATTTTGGTTCCTCATATTTAGTTGTACGAGCTTTTAGTGTAATTTTGGTTCCTTATATTTAGTTGTACAAGCTTCTAGAACGCTCCTCATGTATAGCAAGTGATTTATGTGAAGTTCTTTCAGACAATGTTGCAGGGATTCATAAGCACACCTGGCAAAGTCTAATTGGTGCTGCTTTGACTTCCTTCCATAAATTACATTTTGCTAACAAAACTGGACATGAGGAAGTTGGCAAATATTTGGATCTTGCAAAAAGATACAAGTCATCTTCACAAATATTGACTACTGTAGCTGATTTTTTGGATTCCTTGGACTGGTAAGTTTGTCTTTGGCTACGTGATTAGTTAATTTGAAACCTTTTTCTCATTTATTTTCAAATGTTTTCCTAAGGCTGACACTTCTCTCCTTATTCTAAAAATAATAATAATAATAATAATTATTATTATAATAAGTGCAAAAGAAGAAGAAATGTTAAGCCTTTGTTAACCTTTTACAATAATGCAAATGAAGGTCTCAAGCTGACACCAGACATAAGGCATTTCATCCAGAGCTTAAAGCGGAGAAGACTACGGAATCACTAAACATATTCGCCGAAAATTTGTGCCATTCAGACAAAGGGATCCGTCTTTCCACCCTAAGAGTATTGTGCCATTATGAGACTCTGAATTCTGAATATTTTGCAAAGGATCAGCCTGTTGAGAAGAAAATGGGAACTGAAGTTTTAGAAACTTGCCTTGCTGACAACCAGGGCAGTAATGTATGTACTTTTTCTCATTGCTCTTTCATTATGCCATTATGTTTTGTGTATTTCATTTAAGGTTGATTTTTCTTCCAAATATCAGGTTCTTCAGCTCTTCCTTTCGATTGAAGCAACTCCTTTATCAGTTACTACCAGCAGGAGAGTTATCCTATTGATCTCTAGAATACAGATGGACCTCTCTTCTGCAAGGATATCTGAAATATATTTACCGTCTGTACTAAATGGGATTATTGGAATCTTACATAATCGATTTAGCTATCTATGGAATCCAGCCTTAGAATGCCTTGCGGTCCTGGTTAGCAAGTATTTTGGACTTGTATGGGACAGATATGTTCAGTATCTTGAACAGTGCGAGTCCATCTTTCTGACAGTTCATAATCAGTCTGACAGGGGCAATACTGAATCATTTAACAGGCCCGGTGGTAAATTCCAAGTTCATTAATGCTCTATCCTCTAAAACTATGTATAACTGATAACTTAAATATCGTTATCTCAACTTTTTTGCAATTATCCTCATGCTTATCATTAAAATGTTTAACATTGCTATTTTTTCTGTTCTCCACTTTGTAATGAAATGCTTTTATTTTGTTTTGGAACAGAAATGAGAATGCAAATGATGAATTCTAAATTGCTATACTTCATTATTATTACTTGGATACGAACTCTGCAGAAATCTAACTTCTAGCTTGGTTTTCATCTTCAGATTTGGTTAAACGTTTCAATTCGTTTGTTACTCCTGCACCTGATAGCACTCCATGCATCACAGTTTTGTCCTTGTTGATTCAGTCTTTGCAAAAAGTTCCAACAATTGCAGAGTCCCACTCTAGGCAGATTATACCTTTGTTCTTGAAGTTTTTGGGCTACCATAGTGATGATATCTTGAGGTAATTTTATCTTGTGCCGTTAATAGGATTAATTCAATCTTTTCTGATTATGTGGAAGTTATGTTGGAGTTTCAGTCACACTCTGATTCAATTGTGGTTTAACTATTTATTTGGGAATTGCAGTGTGATATCGTACAACTCAGAGGCTTGTAAAGGAAAAGAATGGAAGAGTGTCCTTACAGAATGGTTAAACTTGTTGAAATTGATGCGAAATCCCAAGTCTTTCTATCAGAGTCAGTTTCTTAAAGAAGTTCTGCAATATAGGTTGGTAAAATCTGCACGTTACATTCTAACAGCTCATTGAATGCTTCTCCACTTCTATGTTTTTTTATGGTTTGGTTGGAAAATTGAAACTCAACATACTAGTTGATCCAAAGCTTATTAATTGAGTTTTTGTTTGGGTGCTTTGCCAGGCTTCTTGATGAAAATGACGCTGAAATACAGATGAAAGTTCTTGATTGCTTGTTGAATTGGAAAGACGATTTCTTACTTCCATATGATCTGCATCTTAAAAACCTAATCAGTTCAAAGAACATGAGGGAGGAACTCACAACATGGACTCTATCAAAAGAATCTAATCTTATTGAAGCAGGGCATAGAACTAGTCTTGTGCCTTTAATTGTCCGAATTCTGATACCAAAAGTAAGAAACTTGAAGACGCTTGCCTCTCGGAAGGTATAACTAATTTGATACAGAATTTTTTTTCTTTTAACTGATAGGGTTTCCTCAGTATTTTCTTTTCTTCATCGTTTACTAAAACGAAATGTGTTCTTCTTCTTGTCAGCATGCAAGTGTGCATCACCGAAAGGCAGTTATTGGGTTCTTGGCTCAACTTGATGTTGAGGAGCTACCTCTTTTCTTTACTTTGTTAGTAAAGCCCCTTCTCAATGTTCCACAAGGAGCTGATGGGATCACTAATTGGTTTTGGAGTTCACCTGAAAGTTGTAAGGGCGGATTTGAATCATTTAGCGTTTTGAAGTTTTTCACCATTGAAAACATAGCAGCCCTTTCTTTGAAGAAGAGATATGGTTTTCTGCATGTAGTTGAAGATATTCTTGGAGTTTTTGATGAACTGCGTATTACACCTTTCCTTGATCTGTTAATCGGATGTGTTGTACGAGTATTACAGAGTTGTACATCAAGTCTTGAATGTGCGAGGAGGAATACTGGGTCATCTTTGGGGGGAAATGAGAAAGACAGTGGAGAAGAAAATCAGATCCTGGTAACCTTTGATTATTTGAAAATATTCATATTATCAAAAGCTTTCGTTCTTAAATTTGATTGATTTATATTATCAAAAGCTTTCATTCTTGAAATTGACTGATATTGTTCTGAAAGAGAGAGGACAAAAGAGGATTAAGAAAGGACATTTGACTGCGATTATTGTCTCAACTTTAATATAGATGCCTATGAAGAAGTTTGTAACTTAGATGAACTTAATTGGATACCATACTTTGTCTTATTGCAACTGCTTAGAAAGGGGATTTTTGACAGTATTATGTGCAAAACTAGATCTGTACTCTCTCATTTACTTTAGATGTTTTAGCCACTAGCTTGTTAAATTTACTGGATTCTTGGTAGAATTTTGAAAAAAATTTCAACTACCAGGAAAACAAGTAAATTTAATGCAATGAAAATTACTGTAGTCTTCATCATTACTACAGAGTCGTTGATTAAAGTGGAACTTTCTAACAGAAGTCTTGGTTAATGTGCAGACTGGCATAGCTTTGAAGCAGTTTAAGGATTTGAGATCTTTATGCCTGAAGATCATTTCTTTGGTTCTCAACAAATATGATGATCATGACTTCAGTTGTGAATTTTGGGAGCTTTTCTTTACATCTGTGAAGCCTTTAGTTGATGGCTTCAAGCAAGAAGGTGCTAGTAGTGAGAGGCCAAGTTCACTGTTCTCTTGTTTTCTTGCTATGAGTAGAAGCTACAAACTTGTGTCATTATTGGATAGGGAAAGGAAACTCGTTCATGATATCTTCTCGATTCTTACTGTTACTACGGCATCTGGAGCTATTGTATCATGCGTTCTTAAGTTTATTGAGAACCTACTGGAACTTGACAGTGAGCTTGATACCGAAAACAATATCGTCAGAGGAATAGTACTTCTTAACCTTGACACACTTGTCTGCAGCTTGCATTGTCTCTTCAAGTGTGATAATGTGAAAAAGAGGTGACAAATACTGTCCTTTCCATACTAAATGTTGTAAATTGTTTTATACCAACTTGGATTATCTTTTCTGATTCTAAACTTCTTGTGTGCATGAAGGCATTAATAATAATCTGGCATTAAAAAGTTATTTATCATCTATATGATTCATAGGTTAGGAATTGATTAAGAAAATATCAGGAATGCTTTGTGAAACATGTAAGCTAAAAGGTTTAAACAAAAGACACATCATGTGTTGAGGAAATTAGAAGAGGAGTTTTTGTTCCAAGATCGTGCACAATTATTCCAGAAATTTGGAAAATGGTGGAACTACTTGTTGCATATGGGAATCTGTAGGTTTGGCTAAAATATGCGGGTTTTAGGATTTCATCATTTGACAAAAATATTAGGGTATATTTGGGGAAGTTAGATATATATATTTTTTATATGTTTTGATTGGATGCCTGTACAGTGTCATATGATGTATGGTTGGAATTGAAGGCCATTTGAAACATCAATAAAAAAATACCCCCCTCCAAAAAAAAAAAAAAAATGAACAACAATCAGAACTGGCATCAGCCTCCTTGTGCAAAATATAATTGAGAGTTAGACTGCTATACCCCATCCCAGCCCCCTGGAACCCAGGAACTGGACCCTTTGATCTCTAGTGCCGATATGGCTGATGGATAATAGAAATAGAGAAAATGAAAGGAGAAACATTAATGGTTCGTTCAGTAGGAAAAATAAAATTTGGATGGAAGGGAGAGAAGGGATGGATGAGAACTTTTTGTTCGGTTGGATGGGATAGAAGAGAATAAGCTCATAATTTATTATGTTCGTTAGGAGAGAAGGGCAGAGAAAGTTTTAATTTAGGATAGTAGTAATTTAAAACTTCTATAATAACTCCACTCGTCTTCCCTCCTTTCTTCCGCCCATATTTGAAGGGATAAAAATTTATAAAGGAGAAGGATGACTCATCCCTCCTATTATTCTTTCTCTACTTATCTCCTCTCTACCGAACGAATGAAGTTTGTTCGTTCCTATCTTCCCTCGACACCTCTTTCTTCTTTCATACCAAGCAAAGCAAAAAATACTAATGAAACGTGTCTGAAATAGTGAAAGGTTCTCAATTTCTTTCACTAAAGCTTTGCAATTTAACCATTTCTTGTTCAAACGCTTTAAAATTCCATTGATTACAATCATTTCATGTCAAAAGAAATCGTTGATGGGTTACTCCATCACAAACATCAAATTATAGGAGAGATGGAGTGCCTCTGAGTTCTACATGTTGGTAGTTTTATCCCCTATCTATTAAAGCTTCGCCATGAGATGAACCTCCATTATTGCATTTTAAGCTAAAACATCTCACTGTGATGTGTATTGAGTCTCATCTTGTTGGCTCTTCCACATTGTGGTCTTTTTGATCCTGTCCATCTATTTGATTAGAATTCTTGCCCTTAGTTTCCGTCCTTAATCTCATTTGTTTTCTTCTTTATTGAAGTGTATAAGCAGAAAGAGATCAAGGCAGCTTTCCTTTGATATGTGGATGCACAGTGAGAGGGGTTAAGCTCCTCTCTTTTGGGGGATTGTGGTGGGGCATCTTCATGATTCCTTTAATAAGGATATTGGGGTGAAATAAAGAAAATACAAAACACTCACATTTTGGTTATTTACTTTAGGTGGCTCGATGAAGGAATGTTTGATGTAATTTTTCTTTTATATATATGTATTACCTTTTAAGTTGATCACATGGCTGTTTAGTGTGAAAAGGCATTTTTGTTGTCTGCGGCTGCAAAGACTCATATATCAAATATGTATGCAGATTGACAACTTGGCATTAAATGTACCCTCTTTATGACTGATTATTTTTGCTGTGCTAGGAAATTGGTCAAATGTCCTGGGGAAAGAGAGCTTAGTATTTTTAAACTATTATCGAAGTATATAGGTGATCCTTCGGCAGCTACGAAGTTTGTTGATATCTTACTCCCGTTTTTAGCAAAGAGAGCTCAAAATTCTGGCGAGTGTCTCATAACTTTTGATACTGAAACTCGTTATATATATATATATATATATATATATATATATATATATATATTTTTTATGTTGCTTCAGCTTCTTGCTGCATCTATAAGAATTAAAATTCATTATTGTTAATTCAGCAGAGGCACAGGCGGAAGTTTTGCAGGTCATTCGAAATATAGTACCAGTATTAGGGAATGAAAATACTGCAAAAATTGTGAATGCTGTTTCTCCACTTCTTATTTCTGCTGGTCTGGATGTCCGGGTGTCTATTTGTGATCTTCTTGACACTCTTGGTGAAAATGATACTTCTTTACTCCCTGTGGTAACAATGCCCTTCTGTTTTCTTTTTGTTTTTCTTCCTTCCCGTTGACTATTAATTTTGAGGATTTTTTTCAATTTCTAAAATCAGTAACTGGTTCTTCAATTTATTTCTTAATCTGAGTGCAGGCAAAAATTGTTCGGGAATTGAATTCAACATCTGTTATCGAGATGGGTGAACTTGATTATGACACTATTGTCAGTGCTTATGGAAAGATCAACAAAGATTTCTTCTACACTGTCCAAGAGAAGCAAGCATTGCTCATTCTGTCACATTCTGTGCATGACATGTCTTCTGATGAATTGATTTTGAGGCACAGTGCCTATAGGTTATTGCTTACGTTTGTTGAATTCTCTGCTGGAATTCTTGATCTAGAAGTGAAGTCCGATGAAGGTTATTGGTCTGGAGCACGCATTCAGTGCATAATAAACAACTTCTTTCTAAAACATATTGGGGATGCAGTAAACAAAGTAGCTTCTGTTCAAAAGGTATCAAGTTTCAAAACAACTGTCTTTTATAGTTTGCTTTTGTCTGTTTTTTCTCTTTCATTTCTTCTTCTTCTTCTTCTTCTTCATCTTCATCTTCCTTTTTATTTTTTTTGGGTTTCCTTTCTCTCCGTTTCAAGTGTCTGAATGTTGGAACCAATAGAAAGGTAACTCAAGGGACAGTGTTAGCTGAGATATGATAGGCGCAAATCATGGAATGTGACTTACCATATTATCTGAGACATGATAGCCACAAATAATGGATTTTACTTTATATACGCATATGTCTAGGCATAGAATATGCAATGATTTTATTTAGTTTCCTTTATTGTAATATTAACATGTGCTCTTTATTCAAACCTTTTACATATTTCTCTTGTCTTTCTTCTATATTATATTTCTTCTTGGTATCGAAGCCAAGGCGGTCCAACTGCAATGAGGGCATTGCGAGTTCGGTACCAGCCATTTGGGAATGGTCTAAGGTTACATCAACCATCGAGGAGGTGTCAAGTAGGTAGGGTGTTCCGACCTTAATGAGGGTGTTGCGAGTTTGGCACCACCTATTCAAAAATGGTCTGAGGAGACATTGTTGAATCTTTCAACTACATTGTTTAAACATATGTATGAAGGTGAATGGTTTGAGGAGACATAGTTGTTTCTTTTTATGGTCTGAGGAGACATTGTTGATTCCTTCATCTACACTGTTTAAACATATGTATGAAAGGGAATGGTCTGAGGAGACATTGTTGATTCTTCCATCTACATGTTTTAAACATGTGTATGAGGAGAAATGGTCTGAGGAGACATTGTTGGTTGTTTACGGTCTGAGGAGACATGATTGATTGTTTATGGTCTGAGGAGACATTGTCAAAAGTTTATGGTCTGAGGAGACACTTTGATTTGTTGATCGGCACTTAATTTGACAGAAAAGCTTCGCTAATCAAATTTACACGTGTTAGCAAGACTGTGTTTAAGGATGCATTGTCCAAGTTGGGCGTCTCAGACATCCACACACCAACTTAAGGCGGAGTGTTATCCGAGATATGATAGGCGCAAATCATGGGATGTGACTTACCATATTATTTGAGATATGATAGTCACAAATAATGGATTTTACTTTATTTATGAATATGTCTAGGCATAGAATATGCAATGATTTTATTTTGTTTCTTTTCTTTTAATATGAGCATGTGCTCTTTTTTTATCTATAAATATTAAAGCTGTGAATGAGTGATTGATATCATTCAAGCCTTTACATATTATAAATCTCATTCAAGCCTTTACGCAATTCTCTCATTTTTTTTCTTTTTATATTTTTACTGAGAGAGATACAGAGAGAGAGAGAGGGGAGGAGGAGGAGGAGGAGGAGGAGGAGGAAAGGGGGGGGGGGGGGGGGGGGGGGGGGGGGAAGTGATGAACTCGTCACATGTTCTCACTTAAAACCACAAATAACTTTTTCTTGCAGCTGGTGAAAGCCTTAATTGGCTGATTGTGCTCCCAAAGCCCTGACCTGCTCGATCTGGTTGTTACTTTGAGCCTTCTCTTGCCACCAAAAAAACTTCAACATTACTCATGAATGGCCATTTTTTTAATTTGTTCTTCAATCTATCAATAATTTCTTATTTAATCGAAACCAAAAGTTTTTGTGATTCAATACAATTTCTTACTTCTACAATATTAGTACACGACCTTTGTCAATTGTCAACACTCGACACAATATACTATCTAACCTTCCTTCCTAGTAACTAAAGGCAGCAAGTGACCTATAACTCCAATTCTGTTTAAGGAGCTATCTGTCCTGTCATTAGGAACTAATGGAGTCAGGGTCGACCTATCCTACTATCTCTCCCGAGGGGGACTTAGGGGGGTAACGATCAGATCTCTTATTTAATATCTAGTCCTTTTAAGGCTTTAAAGATCCCAGAAAGGACTTCTCAAAGATCTGTCAAACTAATTCTAGGGTAAAGTGCAAAAAACCCCCCTGAATTATTAGCTTTTTGCAACTAATCCCCCTGAACTAAAGATTGCCCCCCTAAAGTATTGATTTGTTGCAATTAAGGACAAACCCATTACAAAAGACTATTTTACCCTCTGTTATTAAATTTATCATTTCTTATTAAATTGTTTTTTTATTATATTTTCTCTTATTTAAATATTAATTATACCATTTACCTTAATTTTATAATTAGTATCAATTGATTATAAAAATGGAAAAAAATAAATAAATTTGTAGCTATCATTTTCTAATATGATTAGCTTATTATAATAAAGCTTATTATACTCACTTTAAAAAAATTAATAAATTACGTAAATAAAAAATATCTTCTTTTTAATGCAATATATTCATGAAAATTAAGAAATTACTTAAATTGTTTCAAAATTTTCTATTTAAGATTTTTATTTAAATAATTAATTTAAAAATTAAAGGCAAAGTTATGCAAATTTAATGGAGAATATTTCATCAAATTAGTATGAATTTTTTTCATAATTTATTTTAACAAGAAAAATATATCAAGTGTAATTCAATAAGAAAGGGTATTAGGGTATTATGGTCATTTAATGAAAAATAGGTAAGACAATGGGGCATTTTGCAACTAAATGTGATAGTTTAGGGGGTTTTATGCACAAAACATAGTTCAGGGGGGTTATTTGCAAATTTAGATATAGTTGAGGGGGGGTTTTTGCACTTTACCCTTAATTCTATGGCCATTTTCTAGACGTAGAATCTTGAATTTTAAGTGCCATTTGGCTTATTGCCTTAAGACCCCGAGAAACATGGCTTCTCAACAAATCATGGTGTGTGCTTGTACCTATTATATGTGTCGGATATCCTAAATGGAACTTCAAGGATGCTGTATATATATTTTTTAATTTATTGAAATTTTATTACTTATATTTTTTTGACTGATTTATCAAATATGGTTACCTTTGACTATGAGAATTCAAATGGTTTCAATTGTTGAATGGTTTAATTTCAGGTATGGATTGATTTACTGCGAGAAATGGTGTTGAAGCTTCCAAAGGTGCAGAACCTTAATTCATTTAGGGCTCTGTGCAGTGATGATGCAGAACAGGATTTCTTTAACAATATTATTCACTTACAGGTGAGTTCCTTGTGTGTTTCTTGATGTGAAAATGAGTTTCTTAATTAAAATTTTCTTTCATAATATCTTTATGTCACAACTGATTAGCTATTAATTAATTTGTCATAAGCCGCTTGTTCATTTTTTTGTGGAAATGTTTTTCTTAAAGAATAAAAAATGTTTCAATGTTGTGCCCACTATGAAGAGTCTGATGTATTTTTAACTGGCTTCATTGCATTCATTTTGTCAAAACCAAGGAAGTAGGCTTTTGTTTTATCATCCTATTATACAAGTAGGGCCCACAAAATACGGAGACAATGTACTAGCCATTTCTCTCACAATTTTGTATCATTCTTGCAGAAGCACAGAAGAGCCAAGGCACTGTCACGCTTTAGGAATCTTGCCCATACAGGCAATTTGTCAGAGGTAATGCTTTTATTATCTAATTAATTTCACTTAACAATTTGTTCTCTTGAATTACTTGGTCTCTTGAAATTCTGTTTTTGATGTCCAGGTTATTACAAATAAAATATTCGTCCCACTCTTTTTTAGTATGTTATTTGATGTACAAGATGGAAAGGGAGAACATGTCAGAGGTGCATGTTCGGAGGCTCTTGCATCCATTTCCGCTCACATGGAGTGGAAGTCATACTATGTGTTATTGGACAGATGCTTCCGAGAGATGACTCTGAAACCAGACAAGCAAAAAGTCTTATTGCGACTAATCTGCTCCATTTTGGACCATTTCCATTTCTTGGATACTCATTCCGGTCAAGAAGTCAAAGAGTCTGCAGGGGATGTTTCAAAACCTGGCATGATTGAAACTTCTTCCTTGACTTTGTTGCCCAAATGTACTAGCTCTGCTAAAGTTTCTGAGATACAGACGAGCCTAAAGAATATCTTTCTGCCCAAGATACAGAAATTGTTGACATCTGATTCTGATAATGTCAATGTCAACATCAGTTTAGTCGCACTCAAACTCCTAAAACTGCTTCCTGGTGACATCATGGATTCACAGCTTCCTAGTATTATCCATCGCATTTCAAACTTCCTAAAGGGTCGTCTGGAAAGCACTCGTGATGAAGCTAGGTCTGCTTTGGCTGCCTGTTTGAAGGAGTTAGGGCTGGAGTACTTGCAGTTCATTGTCAAAGTCTTGAGAGCCACCTTGAAGAGAGGATATGAGCTGCATGTGTTAGGTTATACTCTCAATTTCATTTTATCGAAGTGCCTTTTGAATCCCATCAGCGGAAAGTTGGATTATTGCTTAGTTGATCTTCTTTCAGTGGTCGAGAGTGATATTATGGGAGATGTTTCTGAGGAAAAAGAGGTGGAAAAGATTGCTTCAAAAATGAAAGAAACCAGAAAACATAAGTCCTTTGAAACTCTTAAATTGATTGCCCAAAGTGTCACATTTAAAACCCATGCCGTGAAGCTGCTTTCACCTGTTACTGCTCATCTGCAGAAGCATTTGACTCCAAAATTGAAATCAAAATTGGAAGCTATGTTAAATCATATAGCTGCCGGTATTGAATGCAATCCATCTGTATGTCAGACTGATCTCTTTATTTTTACGTATGGCCTCATTGAAGATGGCATTACTGATGAAAATCCGGAGCCTGAAAATTTCTCCAATACGAAGGCAGATAAACACTGTTCAAATATGGTGAGGAACAAAATAGTAACCTCAGGCAGGGTCATTGGCAAAGACTCACAATGTTCACATCTTATTACGGTCTTTGCTCTTGGGGTATTGCACAATCGTGCGAAGAATATGAAACTTCAGAAGAAGGATGAACAACTTTTATCGATGTTGGACCCTTTTGTTAAGTTGCTGGGTGATTGCTTGAGTTCCAAGTACGAAGATGTTATATCTTCAGCGCTTAGGTGCTTTACTTCTTTGGTGAGGCTTCCTTTGCCATCTCTTGAATACCATGCTGACAAGATAAAGACATCGCTACTGGTGCTTGCTCATGGTTCAGCAAATGCTAGCAGTCCTCTAATGCAATCATGTCTAACATTGTTAACAGCACTTCTGAGGAACACTAGGATTACCCTTTCCACAGATCAATTGCACATGTTGATACAATTTCCACTTTTTGTTGATCTTGAAAGAAATCCCTCATTTGTTGCGCTGTCACTTTTAAAGGCTATTGTGAAGCGCAAACTAGTAGTCCACGAGATATATGATGTTGTTACTCGGGTTGCAGAGTTGATGGTAACAAGTCAAGTAGAACCAATTCGCAGGAAATGCAGTCAAATTTTCTTACAATTCTTACTTGATTATCATCTCTCGGGGAAACGCTTGCAAGAACATCTTGATTTCCTGCTTGCAAATCTAAGGCAAGGATATAAACACCTTGCTCAATGTTCATGTTGATTGTATTTTCAATCTTTCTTACACTGATTTATCTTCGTTCAGCTATGAGCATTCAACTGGAAGAGAAGCTGTGCTTGAAATGCTTCATGCAATTATAATGAAGCTTTCAATAAACGTTGTGGATGAGCAGTCCCAGTCAATATTTACGATTTTGGTGCTTTGCTTGGCTAATGATCATGACAACAAAGTACGATCCATGACCGGTGCAGCTATAAAGCTTCTGATTCGACGTGTGAGTCCGAATTCACTTAATACCATTTTCGAGTGCAGTCGCTCTTGGTATATTCATGGAGAGCAGCATTTGTGGAGTGCTGCTGCTCAGGTAAAGTCTTCCAGTATGTACTACAGTAATTTATTCTTAGAGCATTTACTAAAATACAAATATGACAAGGCCTTCATGGTCTTCCTATGAACTCCATTTTTTTATATGGCATGATTCTGGTATGGGACTTGATGCACAATGGCAGGGAATCTGATTGCTTAATTAAAACAAAGCATTGAAATGGTTAATGTGATTTCTGTCCAGAGAATGTCCCATCAGCGTTTTGGTCACTCAGAATTAGTCCTCCTGTAAAAATTTGCTCCAAACACATGTAATTTATCATAGTGCCGTCGAAGTTGATAATTTTACATTGGCTAAATACCAACCATGGAGAGAAGGATGACACATTGACCAGTACCTAGAGTCTATAAATTCTGGTAGTTGCACCCAGGACCTCATCAGTCCTCTTTGCAATGGTTGGTATATGCATCATTATACGTGCATGATCAACCTGGAAATGGGGGGAGATCTCATGCAAGCTCTTCTCAAAAGGGGCTCGTTGTAATTTTTTTGTTAGTTCAATCATGTCAATAGACCTGTTTTGAATATTTGAACAGCAAGTTTTAAAAATTTCGAGGGTCATTCGAGTTTGTGGTCCTTAAAGTTGGAACCCATAAGTAAATGCATGGGATGTTAGGGCAACACTATCACCTGAAATCCTTGATTTAATTTCTTTTGTTTCATTGTTTTTGAATGATTGGAATGCAAAGACTCTCCTTTTATTTCTTTTTTCAATTTGTTTTAGATGTTGTACCTACTTCAATAGTTTTAAACCATGATTGTGTAGGTATTGGGATTACTGGTGGAAGCCATGAAGAATGGGTTTCAAAGACGTATCAATGATGTATTGCCAAAGACGAGAAGCATTCTGAGGGAAGCTGTTAATGTTCTTACAAAGGGGCAGCTAGATCTTTCTAGCGAAGCAACAGTTCCCTTTTGGAAGGAAGCATATTATTCGCTAGTTATGTTTGAAAAGATACTACAACAGTTCCATGAGATGTGCTTGGAAAAGGATCTCGAGGTACACCCTATTCTCTACATGTTTTATATGTGTGCAATGCTTATTATTTGATTTATGTGTGCAAACTATTATATTTGAATGTGTATAACATATGCAATGTAGCATTTCTCTACATAACCAGACAGGACAATTGCTAGCATTAGGCTCTAGTTGCGGTGGGTTGTGGAGCTGTGGCAAAAGCGAAATCATCAATTCATGAAAGAGATGTAATAGTACTGCCAATTGAAGGCCAAATGGAAATTTAGAACTCCTCAAATAAGTTTTATTTCATTGATTTATTTAAGCATTTTGTTTCTCTGGGATGGGGGGTTTGCGTTAAATTGATGGTTCTCAAGGAGTGCATGGTAAGAATTGACATATCAATTTTTTTTTTTTTTTGGGTCCCGGAAGTTGACATATCAAATTTTTTTATGCATCATCAGCATCATTCTTTTTCTTTTTCTTGGAGGGGGAGATAGGGGATACAACAAATAGCTGGTCTTTTGAGGAGTGTAGGGTAATAATTGACATATGATAATTTTTAGTTATGCATATAATTGTTGTTAAAACTTTTTTTCTTTCTCCTTTTTTTGGGGGTTGGGGGTTACGGCATATTTACATTCTTCAAGAAGGGTGGTAAGAGTATTCTTATTAATAATGATCAACAAGACCCTAGTAACTTTTCTTGACCCAAATTGCAACCTACAGATCGTTGCTACGTTCCATGTTAAGTAAACTTGAGCTCACCAAAAATCCATGACTTCTGAAATCAAATATAATAGAAGATAGCAACATAGTAGTTTATATTAAATAACTTAAAATTAAGTCCATATTGAACCAAATTGTGATCAAACAAAGCTCCAATAGTGTTGTATATGAAATTTTCATTTTCCTTTATTACAAGCGTCCTTTGCATTGTTCTCCCTCGTATTGATGAAAAATTGACCTCAAATTAATAATGACGAAACATGAGCTCCATGCTTTCATCCTTGGATGCTTGACATTTCTATGTTGATTGACTTGAATTTCTCTTTTGGAAGCAAATAGGATGACGCCAACTGTCTTTTTATTGTACCATTTCAATTTGCCTGGAGTAATAAAAACGGTGTTCAGACAGCTTGTACTCCCTCCGTCCCAAAATAAGTGTCCATTTTGGGAAATTTTTTTTAAGGGGACGTGCAATTAATGCATTGTCCCCTTTTAAAATTACTATGTTACCCTTTGAAGTTTGAATATATATATATATATATATATATATATATATAAATATATAATCAAGTTTGAAATTTTTTAAAACTTCAAGGCATTCATGGAAAGATGTGAAATATCTTGTTTGAACTTTTTAAGTCGGACAAGTATTTTGGGACAGCCCAAAAGGTAAGGATGGACATCTATTTTGGATCTGAGGGAGTATATGCCATTAGATTGATCAACTCAAACATTTCAACCATACTCTTATTTACAATTTTGACTTCTTTGGCTCTATCATTAGGATTATTCCATTTCTTTGTGCTCTCTTCAAGTGTCACTGTCTTAGCAATTAAAAACATTTGGCTCTCTTGCATCAAATTGTTGATTGGTATTACGCTTTAATTGGATGAGAATAGTAAACATGGTGGGCATGGATGCAGCGTCCTTATTGAATTGCAAAGGCTTTAACTTTGTTATATAGCTATCCATATCCATTCCCTTTATGTTAATGAAAGGAAAACATGAACTGAAGGCTTAAAGAATTGAAGCCTAGTCTTCAAGGATTCCATTTTTGAATAGACTGCATCATACTTATTGTTGAACATATTCTTCATGACAACTAGATGTTGCCTAAAACTCTTGATGACAACACGCAACTTGTCTTACTCATGTCTCCCTGGTTCAGAACATCAAGCACACAAATAAGATATAGCTCTGGTACAAACTGATTTTGGCAGGGTTAGAAAATTTTGAGTGCTGCCGACAAATGGTTTAGTGGTAGGCTTAGGTTTGTGGAAAGCTTGTGGGGTTAGGGTCTTAAGAGGTATAAAAAGTATTAGGTTTTTAAATGTAGAGGGTTGGTTATGGCTTGATTTAGAAAATGACTGCTTGCAGGAATGGTAGAGGAATTAGTAATTGGAAATTTCTGGAGAGTTACTAAGAAGGGACCTGGGTGTAAAAATGGAGGCCAAAAAGTAAAGTGAAGGGTTGATGATGCTTAATATGGTAGGATTTTGGAATGATACGAGGGTTGTTCAAGGACTTTGAATAGTGATTCTCAAATACTAACTTAGCAGATAAGAAGGGAAGGAGAAGAGTTAGATGGAAAAAAAATTCTACATAGCAAATAGAAAAGGGTTTTGGATGTTAAAATGGAGGACTAAAGGAAAGGAAAAGGATTGGGGTTGATGGATTTTATGTCGGAATTTGGAGTGATATGGGGTTGTTCTCCGACTGTAAATGATGATTCTTGAACACTTGGAAGATAAGAAGTGAAGGAGAAGAGTAAGAAGAAGAATATAGGATTCTTACCTAGAATTTCTTAGGAATCAACACCTAAGATAAAGTTACATCACATGTCAATCAATCTTCAATTCTCTGAAACACTGACGCTTAATTCAGTATAAAGTTCACACAAATATTTATAGGCTACTGACTTCTATACCATTACTAAACTCCAAAATAAGAATGTTGGAAGTTTGAAATTGAGATTGTTCTGTACATATTCAAAATTACAAAATAGACTTGGATAACATAACTTGACCCAAATTATGACTTATGGACCCCAGCCATAGTCTATGTCTAGCAAAGTGAGAATTACCAAGATATCTGTGAGTCGTAAATAAACCTGTATCATCAGCATACTAATAATAATAAATACACATCATTAAAGATTCAAAGTGAACCAAAACTTGATTAGACAAAACCATTACTGAGCCGTATGAAATTCCATCACTTTTCTTGTCAGCATGATCTGCATTACAACTAGTATTGGAAAATCCACAATCCAATTTCTTATAATCAACATAACAGGAGGAAGCCAAGAAAGTCGCCCTATACCATATTCCAAAATTAGCGCTTCTTTAAAAATAAATTACCTTAAATTTGTCATCATTGCAAAGAGCGCACACTCGAATGGACCTTTACCTTCTCTTATTCTTATGCCTTTTCTTCCAAAGCAATTTCTATTATCATTGTAACGGGACCAATCTACTCTCAGCAACTGTTTCAAAAAATTATTTCCAGAGGATCTAGGTGGAGAATTATCTATTGAATTTTAACTATCTCTACACGCAAGGCAGATATTAAGAGGCATTTTTGGGGCTTGTTTTTTAGCAAGTCATGGAGCTTTTCTTGAGTAAGTAATCAGACCCCTCCCATGAGCTACTGTTCATGTGAAGGCCTTGCCCTTAAAAAACACCTTTGCCTTTAAATTGACTTGTCTGAGTGAGGGACTGAGGAGTGGAACCTTCTTTAGTAATAACAGGATTTTTAAAGTGTTTAGTAATAACAGGATTTTTAAATTGTTTAGTAATAACAGGATATAAAGTTAAGAAGACATTAGTTTTATGCACTGTTAACCGCAACTAGACCTTACAACCTTTCTTTTCAACCCAAAAAACCCCCCTTCAACTAGCGCAATCCTTCAATCCATGAAAGCTTCCACTCCAACAACCCAAAGTCACTCAGTTTACTGTACATGAGCTACAGTTTGTAGTCATATTTCGTTTCCAGTACTCTACCCTACTGCTCTAATCAACCTATACCTTTAAGAAGTGTGTGTTTACACCAAGTAATTACCTAACGAGTGTGTTACGTTCTCAGCAGTGGTTACTATAATGCAACACTGTAGTGATACTTTATATCAATTATTTGTAGTTGCTTTAATGACCGTAAAATGTAGTGTAATGAAGTTCACACTATTGCAAGTGTTTTTCTTCCTTTTGGGTTTCTTTTGCTGATATACAGGTTGAGATTTGTTTAATCTAAGGACCATGTATAGCTTGTCATTAGTCATCTGGGTGGCTGAAAGGAGGAATGAACTTTATGAAAAATATTTTCGCATGCAGGATGTGAGATTGTTATCTTAATGTCTGTAAAACTGGAATATTCTTTCAGAACTTAGATATCAGAGTTTGACTATCTAACAAATTATCTTAAATTAGTTAGGTAAAGGATTTCTTTTTCTTTTCTTTTGGTCTGAGAATTGGTTGAGCCTTGCTGTTGGATTTTTTTTGGTTAATTATTAATTGTAGACTATATTTCTCTCTTCTTTAAAGTAACGATAATCCTTGGTATGATTTCTTTAGCTGTGAAGTGAATTTCTTCTGCTTATTATTCACATTGGAAGTTCATTTTATTTCACGATAATCTGTTTGCTACTGAATTATTATGTTTTTTTCTGTCCTAAGTGGTTGGGGTGAGGTCTTATTTAGTTGCAAATTTTCTTTCCAGCTTGTTTTTCTTTTTCTTACTTGACTCCTCTAGTATTTCATTGAAGCATTTTTTCAGAAAGGTCATTTTGTGGGTTGAACTTTTTACTAATAGATTTTGTTAGGTCATTTGGCCTTGTTTTTTTTCCTTTTCTTTTTAAATTAATTTTTCTACCCTTTTTCCTAATTTTCAGGGTATATGGGAAGCAATCTGTGAGTTCTTGTTACATCCGCACATGTGGTTACGCAACATATCAAACCGCCTTGTGGCTGTATACTTCGCCACAGTAACCGAGGCTCACAGACAAAAACATGAAAAACCACTAGGATCATTTTTGCTGATGAGACCGAGTAGACTTTATCTTAATGCTGTTTATTTCTGCTGTCAACTGAAGGCTCGAGTCACTGATAATATGACCTGCAACCTAATTACACAAAATCTTGTGTTTGTTATCTGTGCTGTGCATTCCTTGATGGTAAAAAACGAATGCATAGATCCTAAAGGGTTTTGGTCCAAGCTTGAACATGATGAACAAGGCCTTTTTCTGAAAGCTTTTCAGTTGCTTGATTCAAGAAAAGGGAGAAGCATGTTGGCATCTCTTACATCTGGTGTTGATGATCAAAATGATGTGGAGAATATTGAGCATCGTCAATATTTCCTTGTCTCTTATTTGCTTAAGAGAATGGGAAAAATTGCCCTTCAGGGAGAGGCTATGCAGGTGGGTCTAGTGGGCAGTGGGTATCTGAACACTGTCCTTGAATTTTTTTTTTTTTTTCTTAGTTGGTACTCATACACATGCCTCCACTGAGGCTTGAACCCCTGACTTCCCTTTTGAAAGTAAGGGTCTGATACCGCTAGGCCACTGGCCTGTTGGCAACACTGTCCTTGATTTGCTAAGCTTGCTGAAGATATTTGATAATTTCCTGCAATTTCTCTTTCCTTTCTGAGATTTTTTTATCCATAATTTTCGCAAGAACATTTTGAAACCCGTGCAAAATATGATTTATTTTCTTTTTCCCTTTTCCATCTCTTCCTATTGCTAATATTATATCGAAATTGTGTGTGCAGATGAAGATTGTTTTTGATAGTTTCAGATCAGTTTCATCAAGAATTATTGACCTAAAAGGAGAATCACAAACTTGTGACAATGAGAGCCGACATTATGCATACCAAATGCTGCTACCTTTGTACAAAGTTTGTGAAGGATTTGCTGGAAAAGTTATTCCAGGTGAGTTCTGTCATTTGAATATCCAATGAAAACTTCTTTTTTATTTAATGCGTGCATGTTTGTCTGTATGTGCATGTGAGGTTGGGGCTGGTGAAGAGGAGCAAGCATAAAAACATCAGAACTGAAAAGAAATGTTTTAATAATTCATTCAGATGAAAGATTCTATATGGATATTCTAGAGACTTCATGAACTGAAAATAAGATGACTATCAATATTTTTCATATCAGCATCAGCGTAATTACCCGAGAAAAAAAAATTATTTGTCTTAAAATTGCAAGATTTCCTTGGCCTGGTATGTCATCACTATGATAAAACAAAAACAAACATTATTACCATTGTAAAGTTAATGGTTTAGTGCATCTTTCTTGTTTTATTTTTCTCACCATTGTATCTTCTCCCCTTGGAACATAGTGATTTGCTTACTAAATTTATTATAATGATCTCGCACTCACCAATTTGATTCTATTTCAGATGATGTGAAGCAATTAGCACAAGAGGTTTGCGAAAGTATAAAAAAGACAATGGGAATGCATAATTTTGTACAAGTTTACAGTGAGATCAGGAAGACCCTCAAGGCAAAGAGAGATAAGAGGAAACAAGAGCAAAAGGTCATGGCTGTGATCAATCCAATGCGACATGCCAAGAGGAAGTTGAGAATTGCAGCCAAGCATCAAGCCAACAAGAAAAGGAAGATAATGACAATGAAGATGGGGAGATGGATGCAGTAAAAATCAAGAGATGCAAATAGTTCCAAATGGGTTCCACCCACCCTTTTCCTGAAGAAAGGAAAACAATGCCTTTTCTTGGCGGAGTGTTCTGCTATGATCATCAACTGCCCAAGGCCCTTACGTCGTTCTGTCTCCATATTTTGGGATGCCTTCTCTGAAGCAAGTCTCCAAATGTTGCTCTTCCTCTAGCAGCAGCGCAAGAATTGATGTGAAGCACAGTTGGCTGATTGGAAACCGGCGTACAAGACATCGTGTGAGGCTGAAGGAGATACCAACATTCTCAAAGATTACATGGTGAATGTGACCCAGGGAGTAAATTTAATTCCTAGTGTAATGTAAATTGCGAGAAATGTAATATAGACCTTCATACTTCAATTGTTTAAAAATCAATTTTCGTAATCGATCTATCTTGTGATATAATAGAGGTTTCTTCAAGCATCTCTCCAATAACGTTCAACAAAAGACTTCCCTTCACTTTTAATACTTTGTTATCTGATCTGTGCCATCAACTAATTGTATCATGTCACATTAGTAAAAGTGTTTTATTTTAGTGAGTCCTATCACTACGTGTAAGTATCTGATTAGTTGATAGTTGATGCCATGTTTTTTCTCCTCCACAAAGAGGGCTGGTGCTGCAAGTCGGTCTTAAATTCTCGAAGCTTTGCTTTCCTTTAATAAGATTTTACAATGTAAGATGGTCATGTTTATATTGCAACTCTCAAGAGAGCTCCTTTTTCTCCACTGACGCTTTGTTTACAAAACATGTCAAGAACTCAGGACAAAAGGACTAGATTTAATATTTGAAGGATTATTGTTAGATCCAATATGGAGCAATCCTTGTGCCCTAGATTCTGCTAATCCAGTTCACCCGAGTATATATAATTATATAGTGATATGGACTTATATGAGTGGGAACCAGTTTCAATACTGACATGAATTTGTGGGAAGTTGCTGCTACTAAAACAGCTTAGTAGAATGAAAATTTATATTGGTATAGCATCCACTTCCCCTAAGAATATTTAATGAAGAATTCAAGCTATCCTACTGAGGTAGGAACTCTCAGATGAATGTATTTGGGCTATATATATATATATATATATATATATATATATAATACAAGCATCATAAGTTGCATAATTGAGAATACAAACAAGCTTGACATTAACAGTTTTCATAATAATAATAATAATAATAAAATTAAATTTAAAAAAGAAAAGAAGGCTAAAGCTTTCTCAACGCACTGTTGTAGTTGATAATGATAGGTCAGGACAAATAAACACAGAATAAAATGGAAACCAGAAGGGGCAAATATCCCAATTCGGAACACATTGCCTTAAGAACGGAGCCTTGGAAGTGCAGAACAAGAAAATATGTATATTACAGTGATAAAAGGAGAGAGAAACTGTTTCCAGTGATCAACCAAAGTTAATTCTTTTACAATAACCAACAGCAAAGCATACGTTTTCTGTAAAGCATATTTTATTTTTATTTTTTTCCTGTCTTTCCTATTAAGAGTGTTTTAGGGAGAAGAGATGGGACACCAGTAATATATTGAATATACTGATAAAAGTTCGAAACTAGAGAGAGTGGAATAAGCTGTTAAACATGTTATGAAGATGTTTCAAAACATTTTCAGAAACAATGAAACAACTTCCATTAGCAATGTTATTTCCTTCAAATGCAGTGAATTCATTTCTTCTAAGCCAAGGCATAAAAAGTGTCTTATATGAAAATCAAAGAATGCATGTTTTGAAAACAAAGATGAGAGATGAGTCCTAATACGGCATGAATTCCATGCAAAAATTCATCCTTCAGGAAAACACCAAAACTAAATCAACCACCAAGTAACACAAAGAAACAGGACTAACTACTATAAACATGCTATGCATAGCTAGGTTTTTGTCTATAACATCATTGTTTCAGCTTTTGTCCCACTAAAAGGGCAATTAAAGGACTAGAGCCGCCTCCGCACACGCCTGACATTAGGATTCACAGATTCAGCTGCAGCCCCGTCTGCTAGATCTAACCCGAAGATGCTGCTGCCACTTCTCTTCCTAGTCAACAGTAGACTCGAATTCTCATCCGCTGATGCAATTGTCTCCAGCAGCTCAGATAACAATGAAGGACAGCTCTCTTCTAAGTACCTGAACCCTTCTGACTGCATGACCACTGTAAAACATAAAGGAAAACTGTTTTAGGATTTCAACACACTCCAGATAAACCTAAAGAAAAGGTCTTCCAGGACTGAGAACTGAAAACAGTTTGCTGAGATACCATTCTCTGACAAAAATAAACAAAAATAAAAAATAAAAATAAAAGCTTCTTAGTTACCATATCAAATAATTTTCCAACTCCCATCACATAGTTTACCAGATTAATTCCTCGTTAGAATTGAGAAACATAAAACCAGTTGTCCTACACTAGTACTTCTTTTCGTACGAAGGATGGAAAAATGTGTGGAAGGGAGGGTAGAAGATGAGTAGAAGTGAGTAAGAAGGAAAAGAGAGGTTTTATATTCTTTTACCATCATAGCCTTAATTATATAATTCAGTAAAAAATGATGAAGGGTAATAATGTTACTTTACGTGATATATAGAATATCGTTCTATCTAATTTTGGGGGGATGAAAAATAGTGGGCCAGGTGGGATTCCTAATCCATGTATCCTTTTCCCTCAACTCTCCCTTACACCAAACAATGAGGCTTGCTCCATCTGTCCTCTCTTTCCTCCCTCCCACTTCCTTCCCTCCTACCAGATGCAGTGTAAGGGAACCTTTCGTTAAGGTTATATCAAATTCGAAACCATATCATAATTCACATTCTGCAAAATATCCCATCTTGACAACTGCTATCACTTTGTTTTCATAGCACGATAACAAGAAGGTAAAATCAAGTTTAAAAGCCAAACTTCCCCAAATTCTAGAATGCTAGAGTCCAGACCACCCAATATTCTACGATTTCTTCATCTACTAAATCCATCAGCAAACCCCACAATAAACATTAAGCAGTTATTGGGAAGATCACTATTAAGATATTAGTTTAAGAACTTAGTAATTTAAAGTACACTATTGAAATAATCACTTAGGAGCATATTGCTTCTAATATTTGCAAATATTGCGGAATCACACCACATATGCAAATTTGGACTAAATACCAAAAGGATGTAATAGTTCTCAAGGATCACACCTCAACTTCTAGTAATCCTCTTTGCCCCCTCTCCGCTCCCCAGCGGGGGTGGAAAACAAAAGAAAAAAGGAGAAAACAGCAAAACCGTCAACTCAATCCAAACCCCTGTGCCCAGTGAGATTGTAAATCAATCTAAAGGAGATGGTATCTCTCTTACAAGTTACCCATGTGATCGGCATTCCTGTTGACTGGTTGCAGCACCAGAAATGGTTCTTCATGGAAACGTGACAGTATCTATGCTATTAGTTTGACTGCAAAACAACCATAAATCCCCTTACATTATGATCCTAAAAAGCTTCTTTAATATCCTAGACTTCAAAGAAACACAATTCTGCCCTGCAAGGACCTTCCCTACCTGCCTGTCCAGTAAATACTATAAACAACATTCAGAGTGTAGTCTCCCCAAATGCCTCAATACCTAAACAACCAAAATTCACAAGGAAAAACTGCTTAAAATTTAGCTTGAAAGTATACCACAGCAAATGCAATCCTCATGAAACAGGCATGCCCAACAAAGAATACCAGACATTGACTTTTTTTTTTGATAAGTAAAGATTGTAATAAAGAGCGATCAAAAGGGGAATGCAATCCTCAAAAGATACAAAAGGCCAAATAGGACCTCTAAACCCTGAAAGAACCCAAAAGATCTACAAACTCCTATATGGATTTACAATTTCTCCCTAGAACCCAACAATAAAGAGTGCTAATAATGGAGAACTTCAACGTTCCAATAGGATTCTCCTTTCCTTCAAAGGATCTCCTATTTCTGCCAGACATTGACTTGTTAAAGAGGGGAGATAGTGCACTTGTCAATCAGTCGAACCATATGACCTAACAAGTATATACTAATATAGCGATCAATAATTCATGTATTAACAAATTTCATTTGAATATATAGTGTATAAATATATGTATTTTGATATGTTTGTGTATGCATGCCTTTTTTTTTTTGATTAGTGTTTGTGTATGCATGCCTTACCAAATTTTTCGTTCCGAAATCTCCTTTGTCTTAAAGAAAGTATTAGTTACCAAATATAATTATTCCGAGACACATGTATGAATTTAATGTTATATGCACGCACAATCAACTCAAAAAAGCCTCAGATCCCAACAACTTGGGGCTGGGTATATCATTATATCCATTAAATCATGCCATGCTCTTTCCTCACTGCCTCAATCACGTTCATCTAACATTCCTCTTCTCCTACTGCCTTCAACCTTGAAATTATTGATGCATTCACTCGTTGTCCTTGATACATGAATGTACAATATGTACGACAGTAAGATGTTAAAGGTCACTTACAGAGAAAAACAGAGTAAGAATCTTAAGCTGAAGTCCAAGATCATAATTTTACTTAAAGCATCAACAACCTCAATTATTTCAACACCTTCAGAAAACTGGGTTTCCTCGCATACCATTGAACCATCTAATTCTGTTTCACCCTAAGTATCTAGCTTAACAATTCAAAACAGGTTCATATCCTGACTGGTCCCATTAAAACTCAATTGGGCTGAAATACCAGCCGACCAGCTTATCAGTTCTATGCCTTCACAAAAATCCCATTCAACTGTCTAGCCTCATCCCACCCTTAAAATATCCAGTTTCAATGATTCTCAACAAGTTCACATTCTGACCTATCCCTGAAAACACTTAAATTTGCTGAAAACCAACCCATACGCTTATTGATTCAAATGGCTAAAACACCTCAAGTCTGAAAATTATATGACCACTGAAGTTTGAACCCCAAATAACAATAGTCACCTCAACTCCAACTAAAATGGCCTCCAAAATATTATCAGCTTCTTTCTTTACTTTATTGAAATACAAGCCAGCCAATTTATTGGTTTAAATGGTGAAACCAAATAACATCTAATAACTATAACAAAATTTTCTCTCATAGGAATTAAAGTCCTTAGCAAAACTAAAAATACAAGCAGAAATGTAGTGAAGATCAGGAGTCAACAGATTTCAAGAAGTGACCACTTTTTTACTGCCTACTCAAATACTCACAGAGTGAGAAATCAGAGATGATGTTAATCATACAATTAAAGTAACATGACATAGATGAGAACTTCTGACACATTGCGCAATTGACGTACATGTTTGAATCCAACATATTGTTATTAGACCAATCAACTTTATGGGAACAAATGTTGGCGCACTCAAAAAAAAAAAATCTCATATACGAGGGTGGCCAATTATGTGAATGAGATAGATGTGTAATGAGAAACAAAAGATACATGAATAAACCCATGAATGGTTGAAGTAGCACTTGTTAGAGATAAAATGAAAATAAATTTAGACAGTCTGACCACACGCAACAAAGACTGAAAATAAATTGTATCGGTAAAGAAGACTGATGTGGTCCATATTAAGGATTCTACTTGAGGTGGAGGGGGACAAAGTCTAAAAAAATGAGCTGAGATAGCAAGGACATATACAATAGCATATGGTTCAATTGAGATTATGACCTTCAATTCCAAATAGCATATGAACATATATCCAATTCCAAATAGCTGGAAGAAGGCTCTGTTGAATTTATTTGACCTGAGTTACAAGATTTGAACTCTGATGCCCAAACAACGAGTCAAAATAAATATGCATAATTCAACTTTCAAGTAAAAGATGTCAAATGCATTTAGGTAGATTAGCCATCAAACTTGAAGAATTTACAGTGATGGAATGTTTTATAAGTGAGAAAACTCAAAACATTCTTTAATCAAGATTTACAAGTTGAATTAGGTCAGACCATAATTATTTTTTTGTTTTTATCCACGATGATTTTTATAATTTTGGTCTAATAAAAGAGGAATGCTAAGGACAGTCGCTTAAGCGACTATCCTTTCACAGTTGCTCTCCTCATTGGCTACTTTAAGTCTCATCAATTACTCTTTCTCTATTCTCAAGGAACGTGAAAAATATAACATACTTTAAAACAAAACTAATCTTTTAAAGACAAAACTACCCTTTAAATCCTTTTTCATTACCTTTCTTGTATCTTCTCCCTCAATCCATATACGTGTGGTATATATATATTTTTTACTGCCTTTATTTCTTTCCTTTTTATTTCAATTGTTGCCAATAGTTATTTTTTTCCTTCCTTTTTTTCTTTATTTCCCTTTTTTTTTTTAATTGTTGCCATTAGCCTTTTTTCCCGCCCGCCCTTCCTTTCATTTTTTTTTTTTTTCAGTTTATATATATTAAAAGGGGCTAATGGCGAAAACTGAAAAAAAAAAATAATAATAAAATAAAATAAAAATGAAAGGAACGACGGGAAAAAAGGCTAATGGCAACAATTTAGAAAAAAAAGAAAAAAAGAAAAAAAAAAGGGAAATAAAGAAAAAAAAATGAAGGAAAAAAATAACTAGTGGCGACAATAGAAATAAGAAGGAAAGAAATAAAGGCAGTAAAAAATATATATATACTACACGTATATGGATTGAGGGAGGAGATACAAGAAAGGTGACGAAAAATGATTTAAAGGGTAGTTTTGTCTTTAAAAGGTTAGTTTTGTTTTAAAGTATGTTATATTTTTCACATTCCTTGAGAATAGAGAAAGAGTAATTAATGAGACTTAAAGTAGCCAATGAGGAGAGCGACTGTCCTTAGCATTCCTCCTAATAAAATCAACACTTCTGCTCCCTATTTATCCGGCAATTTTTCAATATAAAACCATGATCTAATCAAAATTAATGCAATTTCATAATTCTTTCAATAACTTGATAAATTATACAAAAATATAACCATAGTGCAATAATGATTTTTACAACAAAAAATGAAATAAAATAAAAAATTTGCTTCAGCTATATTTTCTTGAACTTACTATATATAATATAATGCAGAGTTGGAATAGTTTTGACATCTCCAATGTGATTGGTAGGCATGCAAAAGCATGAAGAGTACTTCTGCAGATTAAACAGATAAAACACTAAAATTGACATAACCTGAAACATTGCACCGCTCAGATTCTACGGACAACACGCACCTCCCAAGTTTGCTGCCGCAAATTTCAAACAAACAGCCTTGAGTTGTGGACACCGGTGCTGCTCAGCAAGGGAAAGGGTTGTTGCCACTGCATCGACACTGACTTCTTCACACAATTTCGCTTCACATAATAGTTTCAGCCGATCTAAACCAAAGCGGTCAGCAGCAGCCAAAAGATGCTGCACCATGATTGTAGATGTGCACATAGATGTTGAGCTTGTAATTTCATGTACATCGGGAAGCTTATCTGAGTAAATAAACAGGAGCATAGCCTGCAAAACAGATGAAAGGCCACCTAAGTCATCTGAGTCTGATAGTACATAAAAGTATATTAGCCAGAAAGATAAGAGGCAATAGTCATAATTAGGCAAGAAAACTCAACTAGCCAACATAAACTTCATCTCTTGGAGCACGGACGTAAGCTAACATCAAACCATGCCTAAAAATGTGCATAGCATCTAGTTGCTTAAAAGTTTGATCTAGTTGTTATTTGGTATAATTGATAAGAAACAGTGTATTATGCTGTTAGCTCCCAAAAGTACAGCACAAAGTGCTAGCTTTTTAGTCTTCAACACTACCACGTGGACTAATCTAAGAGTGCTGGTATCCGGAATAGTCCAATGTATCAATAAATTTTTGAAACCAAACAGCAGAATTTCAAACTATTACAAATCTAGTGCCTACTAGTAATACCAGTAACACTTGTGCAAATGAGATTATTAGATGAGTGGCAAGCGGTATTACCAATACATGATGCATTCTCAAGTTTTAGCATTCTAACATAAGGAAGAAGTGGAACTTTTGTGAACTAAGGGAAAACTTCGATAACAACAATAAAAGTAAGACCTTTCATTAGCCTGTGCATTCACTCTCTCTTTTCTTTTTCTTCAGGGAGTGATTAGTGGGGAGACAAATGATTCAAGGGTCATTACCTTAAAGATAGAGGGTTCAAGATCCTCCAACACTACTTTATCCATGTTAGTAGGATCTCCAACAAGTCCATAAAATTGGGCTTTAAATACAGGAGAGCGAGCAGCAAGTATCAACTTATGAGCTTTGAACGTCTCATCGCCAACCTGAAAAACTACATCATAACCAACTTCAGATTCCAGAAAGTCCTTAAGACGCTGGCCCATGTCTGATGGTGGTACAGAAATGCTATATTGTTTGGGTCCCTCAACACGGTTTCTGACGACTCCTACAGTGCAATGCATGGAAAGACAATCATCCTTGATATAATCCGAAGTTTCTAAAGACATTCTTCTGAAAAAACGTTTGTAACCCCTGAAATGGATGTAAAAAAGTTGTAAGAGGGCTAATACAATAATTTTTTTTTTTCCTCTTATCTAAAAGAAGAGAGCAATAATTGCCAATACTAGAGAGTGGTAAAATTTTCATAATTCAGGCATGGAATTTTCATAAAATCGTCATGTAAATTTAAAAAAAGATATATATTTAATGTCCAAACATGCAGTCACATTATACTCATCCCAGATTTGAACTAACTGCTAAAAGTGTATATAAAATGCAAATTTCTACATAAAGTTTTCATTCAATTTCATTTTGAACGTGGTAGATAAGAATTAGGATAGTCCCATATGCTAAAATAAATACATTGTGGGAAATTCTGTTAGAAAGCTACAGATTAATTTCCCATATTGTCACCCTGCTTATCAAGGCTATTACAACTTTTTGGTTGGTCAATTTTCAAGGGGATGCCATTTAGGAACATATTATATTCTGGATGTACAAATGTGAAGAAGTATAATTAAATGCACTACTATACCAATATGAAACTGGTCCTGTAATTTCAATATGAGTATTTGACTCTTGAAACCCCCCTCCCTCTACATAGAGTAAAATAACCCATTCTTCGAAGATAGGGGAATAAATGTGGCAATAAAGACGAGAAATTTGTGCATGTGCTTTTACCTAGATGCATAAAATATACATATATCTCTGTGATTTCAGTCAGTCAATGTAGCTGCATTCCGAGAATTCAATTAGTTACTTAATTTTCGATGAAGCTATGCAATTTCTTCTTACAAAGAAGGATACTTTCTATCCAAGTAACATAAATCAAATCATAGAATAAAAAGGTTCGTGTTAACCCACCACCTCTTCCAATGCAAGGGAATACATACATGCATATATATAAACACAATTATTATTTTTTCACAAAAAAAACGTCATTCCCTCGAAAGCCCCTTTTCCAAACCCTAATTGAGCACAAATGAACATTAACTAGATGAGCATATACATACCACATGCTTCCTCTGTACTTCAAAGTATAAGGACCGCTCTCCAACGCCCGATCAAAGTGACTATGAACTTTGTGCTTCCCTTTCCCACTTTGATCCAACAAAGTGAGCTCAAACAAAGCCCTAACATCGGTACCTTCGCTGGCCAAGGCGATGAACACCGACACGTACATGGAACTATCTTCCACGTTCTTCCCATCAGGGTAGAAGTAAATTGCCCAATCGTAACCCCCCACCGTAAACACATCGCTCGCTATGTACTTGCCCGGACCCATCCCCTTGGCCAGCGAATACCCCTTTATCGTGAAATGGTGCGACCCATTCACCGTCTCGTTTATGGACTTGGAACACGAATCGTTTTGATCGGAAACAAGCATGATTTCATGGACTCAATCAATCAAAGCTCAATCTCTCAATATGTATATAAATTCCAAACCCTAGAATGGGAATTGGGATGGAATTAGGGTTTGTGATACGAATGGCTAGCCCTAGCTGGGGATTTGGGAAAGTGATGGAGGTGGACGGAGGAGGTTGTGGGCGGAGACGGGTGGAATGGAGGTGGGAGTTTTGGGGGTGTTTGGCGCCGGGTAGGTAAATGAAAGAGGAGGAAGCGAATGAAGGAAGAAAGTATGTTTAGAGAGGAAATGATGAGTGGTGATTGGTTGTTTTACCAGTTTTTTCGGTTTTAATGACAAGTGTCAGTGGATAGAAGGGTTTAGGCTTTTCTTTCTTTGGCGGTCTACGCTGGTCGGATTGGTGGACTGTTTGGCGGCGGGAGGAACCATGTCGATAATAGGTGTTCCAGCAAAATGTGGTGAGGTGTGGTTTTATAACTTAATACCAAGGAATGAAATCCCCATTTCAATTATTCTTTTATGATATTTAAAATAAGAATGATTATTCTCTTTTGAATGAAAATTTATTTCATTTCAAGCCTAAATTGATGAAATAAAAATTATTTCAAGGGTTGAAATTATTGGCACCAGTACCGCTTTTTGTTATCGCTGTCTTCTGCTGATGTCGTTGCCATCGCCTTCTACAGTCACTCTCAGACGCCGTCTTCCACCTTCTATCACCATCCCATTTTTCACTACCACCGCTTAGAATAGTGACTATCATTTTATATTTACAACATTCCATATTTACAACCAAACCATAAAAGCACCATTCTTATTTCATTCCTCAAACTAAGCTTATAGTTGTCAATAATTTTAAATTCTTAGTTCTTACTATTCAATTAAACTGAAGGAGAAATTTTTTTATTCCCAGAGTATATACTATGCAAGACTCCAGCCATAAAAACTCCCCATTTTTCTCGATAACAGGAGGCGAAGACTTTATTATTCGGGTACCTCTCTATTGGCCAAAACAGTTCAAGTCTTGAATTAGACCCTTGAAAGCTTGATGCAAGTAAACATATTTTTCTTCTACCTCTCTAAGCTATATATAACTAAGAAGGATTAAAGAAATAAAAAATTACAAAATAATACTTAAAATTCAAGTATTGAAAATTTTAATTATTAATTATTAGTTTTATCAAATAACACATATGAATCCGAATCATATAAAAGTATCATTTTTCATTTTAATCCATCTTCGTTTTCAACAAATTGTTTAGCCCAATTGCGACAAAGCATTAGTACAATAGTAAGTACATTTTTATGTATTTATTGTAGGTGTCGTTTAGTGCTAATCGCCTGAAAAAATCAAATCATAGTTTACATAAAACTCAGCTATAGTGCACGAGGACACTAACACGGCGCTTTGAAAAGTCAAAAGAAAAAGTCTAGCTTTCACCAAGTTATCAAACCAAAAAACCTTGGCAACTACTAGGTCATTAAGCCTCAAGTTTACAATACTCAAGCCTAAGCAAAACCACATTAGGTCATCAAACCTCGAGATTTCAATCTTCGAGTTTAACTAAAACCTGGTACCTTGCTAAGTTATTGAATCTTGAGTTGTTGAGTATGGAATGACATACGGGTAGATGTCCTCGAGCATTCACAAACTAATTATTGGGACACTTGGAAGTAATTTGAACTCGAGGATGAGAAGTTATAATTTTCTTAGCATATATAATAGGCCTCGACAAATCCTTTCAATCATAATTAATGCTATAATGAGAGTCATTATACATTCAACGATCGCAAGTGCTTAGCACTGAATGCATTTAATGTTTATGTTAAAATTATAACGCATTAACAACAAGAGGATGGCTTAAGGAGAGATTTGACCATGGCTTATGGAGATAGGTCTTGGATAAAGACCAAACTCATCAAGGACCACGGGATACTATCCAATAAATACGATGATTAGAGCAAACATTAAGACCAGTGCAATCACACACTCTTATACAAAACCAAACATTTTTTACCTTCACAAGAAAATCTCTCATTCTTTAGTTTACTTCTCCTCTTACCTCTCGACCATCTCACAATCCCCACATTTGTGTAATATACTACTATTTAGTAAAATTAGATCAATATTGGATGTAATTTGTTGTTATCTAAGTTATATAAAACGGGAACGGGAGTGAGCGAATTTGAGAGCGGGAATGTGAGAGCGGCAAAATTAAGTCATAAATAGTGAGAATTTGAGGTAGAACGCGCGCCAAGCATAAAAGCGAAAGCGCGCTTGGAGCCTAAAAGTCGCACCTATTATGAAAAATTGTGGGACTTAAAAATGTGCTGTCCTAACGTTCTGTGATTATTCACGTCATTATTACATAATTACAGCATGGTAGAATTTATTCGAAACTCTGTTCTGGCATAACTCTTCTTCCGTGTGTGAAACTCTGTGCTGGCACTAGTCACCCACGTTAATACTACAATAATCTCCATTGTAGTTCCCGCCCCAATCTTTAATTTCCCAGATCAATAATATACTAATAATTATTGGCGCCGTAAATAATTAGTTACCTATTACATTGTCATTATACCTACCAAGGTCTCACCTCATTTTTGTACCTCTTAATCGTAGGATCTACACGTGTCTAGCTAGTGAACCAAGATCGTAGGCGTATCATCCTTTCCATTCACCTTCTAGTAATAATAGCTCATCCATCCATTGCTTTTCCAGCTCGGATCCAGATCACACAATCGTCTTATTTTCAGCTAATCTTCTACTGTTTAAATTATTCGATCAGAGAGAGAGAGAGAGAGAGAGAGAGAGAGTGCGTCACTGTGTGTAGAGGGACGACGTATAAGACACTTCACTCACGCAGTAAAAGCTTATTCTTTCCGTCCTGTGATCGGCGAAGAAGATAGTATGTGCAAATATACATACAAATGCAATGCATATGTAATATATAGAGACATATATGCATTTATAGATATATAGAGAGAGAGATAGAGAAAGATCAGATCTAGAAAGTGTGGAAGAAGATTTGAAGCATGAAAGGCCTCAACAATGGAGATCATATCAAATCATTGATAAAGATCTCAGTTTTCGTCTTCGTAACAGTCGCTTTCTTCTACTTAGGAAAGCACTGGTCCGATGGCTATCAACGGCTCATCTTCTTCAACTTCGGCCAAACCCCTCTCGACTCTTTCAAAACCCCTTCAGTCTCTCTCTCTCCCAATCACAACAAAACCTTCGATATATCATCTCTCATAAACGCCAATCAAACTGAAATCGTGAAGGACAAAACCCTAGCTCCAGTTTCCCCTGTTTCGGATCCACAACAACTTCCTCAATCTCCACCGCCTCCGCCTCCCTTGCTGCCGCCGCCACCACCACCGTCGGTGCAGAGATTTGGGGTTGTGGATGAGAATGGGACGATGGCCGATGAGTTCGAGATAGGCGAATTTGATCCGGATGTGGTGGAGAATTGGGGGAATGGGAATGAGACGGAGGTTGTGGGAAGTGATGGAGGGGGGTCTAGGGTTAGGGTTAAGAAGTTTGGGATGTGTCCTGTGAGTATGAGAGAGTATATACCGTGTTTGGACAATGTTGAGGCGATTCGGAAGTTGAAGTCGACGGAGAAAGGGGAGAGGTTCGAGCGGCATTGTCCGGAAAATGGCAAGGGCTTGAACTGCTTGGTTCCACCGCCCAAAGGTTACAGAGCCCCAATTCCATGGCCAAGAAGCCGGGATGAGGTACTTCTATCTTGTATTTTTTATTATATTGTTACAAGTTGATCTCTATTTGTAGTGAAATGATTGGTACATAGTGAGAATAATTTCAACGTGATTTAGGTTGTTTTACATTTAAAAATTCAAGTCAATTATATCAAATTACTAGAAATTCAATACGAATCCGTTTCTTCAGTTTGATTAAATCACTATTGGACATAGGCATTAGGAAGTAATTCCGTGGCACTCCAATGCAGGTATGGTTCAGCAATGTTCCTCATGCACGGCTGGTTGAAGATAAAGGGGGTCAAAATTGGATTACTGTAGACAAGGATAAGTTCAAGTTTCCAGGAGGTGGTACACAGTTTATACATGGGGCAGACCAGTACTTGGATCAGATCTCAAAGGTTGTTAGATTTATAAACTTCAACACTTAGTCTGGGAAATAAATGCTTGGATCCGAGTGTTTTGTGTTTTGTCTTTCTGATAGTCATTTTCTTATCTTTATTTATAGATGCTCCCTGATATTGCATTTGGTCGGCATACGCGAGTTGTTTTGGATGTTGGGTGTGGTGTGGCAAGTTTTGGTGCCTACTTATTATCACGGCAGGTGCTCACTATGTCTATAGCTCCAAAAGATGTTCATGAGAACCAGATTCAGTTTGCACTAGAGCGTGGTGTGCCAGCCATGGTGGCAGCATTTGCAACAAAGCGTTTATTGTATCCAAGCCAGGCTTTTGAATTGATACATTGTTCAAGATGTAGAATCAATTGGACTCGTGATGGTATGTCTTCTTATCTCATAATTTTACTTAATATTTTTCTTTGTATTGGATAAAAAGAGTCTTGAAGCTTTTATATAGCAAGTGAATCTATAACACAATAGATTTTCCATCTGCTTTATAGGACATTTATAGGACAAGAAACATAGTTTATGGAATTTCATTGAATTTATAACTTTAATTCCATGTCTTTATGATCCAATCCACTGCTAACAACAAGATCTTCTCTCTTCTGAAAGTTTCCCCTAACTTTGGCTTTTGGTCTACAAAGAATATTAGCAAGACAATCTCTTCATGTATTTCCAGTTTTAGCCAGATTCTTTGATTTTTGATACTTTTTGAGAAAAAAAAATTAGTCCTTTTGAAGTCATTTAAACATTTTAGTTGATCATTCATGCAAGTTCGTATTGCCAATTCACATTGATTCTGGATTATTTGCATTAAAATTAACAATCAAGTTCTTCGATGTCCACACAGTGGTCATTAAAAAAAAAAAAACTACATGGCAAATCATTACTATTTTGAAAATCTGCTATTGAAGTTCATTTGGATTATTTAAGTGTTTTAATGCTGTTGTTGAACTCACCTGTGGAACAAACTCTAATTGTGCCACTATAATTTCATTCATTGTGATGAAGATGGAATTTTACTTCTGGAGGTCAACAGGATGCTACGTGCAGGGGGATACTTTGTTTGGGCAGCACAGCCTGTTTATAAGCATGAAGCACTCCTTGAAGAACAGTGGGAAGGTATTATTACTTGGAAACTGTGTATAAATTGAATGCTGAATCAGTACTCTTTTTAGTAACTCATTAGACATGTCACACTTGAGAGTCAGAATTTCAAAATTTTGCATTCTTTGTTCTGTTATCGTTTCTGTGAGAAACTTTTCACCAGAAGTCGCTATCCGATATTTTATTTTCTGTCAATTGCTTACTGGTGGACTACTATACTAATTCAATTGATAAGTTCTTCATAATTGAAGCTGATCATGAGTGGTGACTTATCTAATAAAAAATTGGCAAACCAATTATTTTTCTTATACATGAATGGTCAAAACTTGAGTCACAGATCAATGTTAAGCTGTATAATTCGACCAAGCTGATAAGAGAAATTAATTCCTGAAACAATGTAAGCCTACTTTTGGGAAGAGGAAGGAGAAGGGGGGGGGGGTGGGGGGAGAGAGAGAGAGAATTCCTTGAAATGGAGTTGATTAGATTGAACTGTCAAATGTACTTTCTGCTTGGCACCTATTAGTTTGTTGTAAATGATTCTCGATTTTCTTTTCTTTTTTCTCAGAAATGGTTAACCTTACCACTCGGCTTTGCTGGGAACTCGTGAAGAAGGAGGGATATATTGCAATATGGCAGAAGCCCTTTAACAACAGTTGCTATTTAGGCCGTGAGGCAGGAACCCAGCCTCCATTGTGTGATCCAGATGATGACCCAGACAAAGTTTGGTATATCTACTAGCTTTTCTGGTTCTATTGATGATATGAATTGTTCATCAAATTAGCACCCTTGGTTCTGGAATTTTTCTCTCTCTCTCTCATACAGTAGGGTTTTTCATGCAATTTCTAAGTGAACGGGTACTTCGTTTTAGACAGTATAGAGATGGACACAGAAAGATACAATCATTTTCAGTTCTTTTCTAATCTTAATTTTTTGTCTGTTCAATTTAATCAACATAATGCCAAAAGTCTGAGACAGTGTTGAACTTCTGCCATCTGTGAACCAAACCATGTTCCATCATTCACATGCCATTTTAACAGATTAGGCCGGACCATGTGGGTTGTATGCACAAAATTTTTCCCTCTTACAAGATGGTAATTGTTATCTTATATGGTACAAGTTCAGGCAACACCGAGAAGTCCAGAAATAATGTTAAATATGTAAAGTCACTATGCCTTAGTTTGTTATGCTACATTCTTGATTAAATCACTTTGTAGATATTTTTGTTGGCTATATGTACCGTTGTACATCAAGGATTCATTCATGACTTGAAGCTTGTCTAGGATATTGCTGTTTACAAACTTTAAGTATCAGATTATAGATGTTAATTGAATTATACTGATAACATTACATAGTGCTTTTGAACTGCCAAGTAGTAAATGTCATTGACTCTGTTTTCTTTACTTATTGATTTCCATTCAAAATTTTCGGAAGCTCCCTGTACAAAAGGCAGAAATAAAGAGAGTTTCTTTCTGCTATATTGACATGGAGTTGATTAGATTCTTTCTGTTCTTTCTGCTACCTTAGTGCAACTATTTTTAGGTTTCTTCTTTCAGAGTGATGGTTTGCCTTCTTTTGAGTGAGGTTTGCCCTCTCTTGGGGCTGAACCTTGTTGTTCTGGGTGGGGTTGATTCCTCCTGCCATGATATTGGAATTATTCATATTTGTATCTATTTTAATTGCAACAAAGCCATGCCTGTTTCCATTTGAGAATTAGCAACATCTGTGAAGGCACGTTGGAAATTATAAAATATTGTTGTACTGGTTCCTTTACCGTTATATTATGTAGTAATGGATTGAGTAATGATTGAACTTGTTGCAAGATCTTTCCCTGCATATGTGTTATTATGCTTCATGTTTTTAAGAGCTTTCCTGCCATCAGTGCTTATTTTGTTTGCACAATTACTTTAGGTATGTTGATTTGAAAGCATGTATTACTCGACTACCTGAGGATGGGAATGGAGCGAATGTTTCCACATGGCCTGCACGCCTGCAGAATCCCCCTGACAGGCTACAGAGTATACAAATGGATGCCTACATATCTAGAAAAGAGCTCTTTAGGGCAGAATCAAAATATTGGAGTGAAATAATAGAAAGCTATATCCGTGCTTTACACTGGAAGAAGTTCAAACTAAGAAATGTTTTGGACATGAGAGCTGGCTTTGGAGGGTATTATATTTATCTTCCTCTTGTATATTTTCCTTTGATTACATCAAACCAGTTTCTTACAATTTTGGCCATTTACATTGTTCCCCAAGTTTTTATGTGAAATTTGCTAATTTTAGCACTATTTTTTATATTTTATATTTTTTATTATTACAGATTTGCAGCAGCATTAATTCAACATCAACTTGATTGCTGGGTTCTGAATGTTGTTCCTATTAGTGGACCTAACACCTTGCCCGTAATATATGACCGTGGACTTCTAGGAGTCATGCACGATTGGTACGAACTAAGCATCATTTGTTTTCTTTACCAAGTTTTTCTTAACTGCTATCTTACAAGGTAGCTTTTATTTATTTTCCTTGCCCCTTCTGGCCAACTAGGTACCATAGCATCACTTACTTGGCTTGTACTACTGATTTTTTTTCTTTTCTTTTGTCATTGAGTATCCAAAAGCTTGTGCTTAAGTGGCTCATATTTTATATCCTCAAAAATTCCCTTCCCCAAAATAAAAATAAAAATAAAAACAAAAGCAAGATTCAGTAATTTTCGTTAATGTTTTGAACCATTATGGGGCAGGATGTACATATTTCATAAAATTGAATATGCATCTGATGCTATTTTGTAGTTTTCTAGAAATCGATTAGTGGTTTTTGCCATTAATCGATCTGAATTTCACTCAATTAAGTATAACATATTATTATGCCTATCAGGTGTGAGCCACTTGACACATACCCACGAACCTATGATTTATTGCATGCGGCTGGACTCTTCTCTATCGAACGAAAAAGGTACACTCTATTCTCTGCATTTTTGCTTTGAAGTTGGTTATTTGCATATAAGCACTTTTTTTTTTTTTTTTTTCCTTTGTGTGTGTCGCGCACTAATGACAAATTCAGGATTCAGGAATTATTCAGTTTAATAATAATTCAGAATTAAAGAGAGTGAAGCATGCTATAAAGGAAACACATGGTAGAATTTGGTGAACAACTTTGTGTTATCACAGTTAGTTAGAAGTATTTTCTCATTTTAGGTGGAACATGTTGTACGAGGGATGAATATGTTCAATTCACCAGGATTGTAGTCTTAAGAATTTTTTTCATGATGAGGGAAGAGATTTCTTTGGGTAGGGTGTAATTGTTGGTACCAGACTCACTCACCATCTATGGCCCATTCATTTATTTGATTTCCTTGCATCAGATGCAACATCTCTAGCATCATGCTTGAAATGGATCGGTTGCTGAGACCTGGAGGACGTGTATACATCCGTGATTCTCTTGCCGTCATGGATGAACTTCAAGAGATTGGGAAAGCCATGGGTTGGCATGTATCATTGCGAGACACATCTGAGGGTCCTCATGCAAGTTACAGGATCTTGACAGGCGATAAACGCTTGTTGCGGGCTTGAAGATACGGGATCCAGGGCTGGATTGCATTATGGTGCTTGCAGCTGTGGAACCAAGACTAAAACTGCAGTTGAAGTCTATTAGACAGTGTTAGGGAGAGGGGATTCTTGTTGGAATTTGATGATGGTGCAGTGGTATGGACAGTTACGTGTTTAATTCTTGACAACTTTTCCAACTTGTAGCTTAACATGGCGGCTCTTCATGTATAGTAAAAGATCACAAGAACCATTTGTGTCATATCCAGTAAAAGAAGATGATACGAGACATTCGAAATAGTTAAATTTTTTTTTTTTCCTACCCAAATTGATCAGAGAACTTGCAAATGTTCTGTTCTAGTGCCTCGGGTGCGTATAAATTGTTTTTACCACCACCATATTTAGGGTGTAATTGACAATGATTAATCATTCTCTAGTTCTAATCCATCTTTGTTTTGTTTCATCCATTAATGCACTTTTGCATCCCAGAGTGAATCCTATTCCTGTTATATGCTTTTACTAATGGTTGCATGCACAGTGATTGATCTATCATTTTGATTGTCAGAACGAACTACACAGCTTGAAGGGATAATAATTTTGGTTAATAAACTGAGATTTTGTACCAATAAGAGATTTTAGTGTTCACACGAGGCACTATTGCATTCAACACTCGAGGCCATGTCACTCCTCATCAACCAGAAAGGCATGTAATATACAAATATGGCGTTAAAATTTTAGTTTCAATGGTAAACACTAACCAAAATCTTTAGCAAAATTGGCACATTTTGAGCCAGGTCGCTGTTAATATGTCAACTGTCAAATTGCATCATAAAGAGAGAAGTTCTGAGAATGGAAAACCAAGTGCCTGTCTGCGAAAACAATTATGTTGTATTTCGGAGCACCGTTAGTTTGAATTTCGAACTAAACTACCTCCAATTCCTCACCCCCAATCCCCAAACCCCAGCGCGCGCACACACAAAATAAAGGGAAAAGCGGGGCATCTTACTCGTTTACTGACAATATTCAAAGCAAAAAATCTTAGAACTTTGAAATACATCATTGCCTCTCAGCAGTCATGAACAATGCATTACTGAAACAACATTTTACTAAAAACACTAGGAACATTTTACAACAAAGTAAACTGTTTTAGGATTGTTCCACCGTGCGTCGAGTGGGGGAAATGGCTTATTTGCACTCTCTTTTTCTAGTAAAGTAGTTGGTTAAGAAATCACTCACAGTCCAAAGCCATTCACAGTCATTCCTCCATCCACAGAAATGACCTGCCCAGTGATGTAAGAAGAAGCAGGTAGACAAAGGAATGCCACCAGGGACGAGACTTCCTTTGGTTCTCCAACCCGCATAAGAGGGGTTTTAGATATAATCCTTTCTAGGAACTCTTTGTTATCTAGCAACTGCAAGGAATAGAAAATTCAGAGTCAGGGAGAAGTTTTTCTGTACAATGAATCGTGAAAATTTTAAGTCCACCATAAAAGGTAGCTTAAATAATGTCTAGTAGAATTCTGCGTATAATTCAATTAGGAAGTGTTAATTTTGCAGAACTCCAAGGAAGAAATTTATGAATCCCAACATATCACTATATTCTTCCATAGGAAAATCCTGAGAATTTTCCAACAGGATCTTGAGTTCTGGACTCGAATAATTCACAGGATTTTGTGATGCTACCCCATTACAAATGGAATTGTCCAAAAAATATCCCCATTTCCCAATACAGTAACTATCTTCTTATAAAACAGATCATTAATTAGTCAAACAGGTCATCCCGTGATTACCAGCGTTCATTTAATGAGGGGCAACATCAATCGTAAAACTAAGCCATGTCATATCATAATTGGATGCACATGCAATCCTAAGGTCCCTCAGTTCCTTGGCAGCAAACACACACACACACACACGTACGGATATGGGGTACAGGTAGGTCAGCCGTGGGCTCCTATAAATCATGAGATATCAATTTGAGGTATAGTACAAAGTCCAGATAATTAACTTAAGTATGCTACTCCATAACAAAAGAACTGAATTTATTTTGTCTCGACTCTTCAGCTAATTTGAAGAATCTGTTGTAAATAGAAATAGATAGCAGGGTTTGAAATGATGTAATTCATCAACTGATTACATCGAACTATAGTCATGATACATCAATTGATGTATTTCATTTTTAATTATCATTTGAGTTAGATTTATTATTTACGTAAATACGTTTTAGTTATCTAATAGCGTGAGCAAAATAATCACTGAGATGTTCTCTTATATGCATACCAGGTCTCAAATTACACAATGAAAGATTAGTTGTTAATTGTTATATGAGCTGTGTCACTGTGGTGGTCAACAAGCTATTGTTTAAATGCATAAACCAAGTATATTTTCCAGAGAACATACAAGTGTTAGTTCAAGAATGTATTGGTTTCGATGAATATGGAAAGTGCAGTTATCTGGGATAACCTCCCAGGTATAATTTCTATAGTGTCTGGAACACAAATTCCCTGGTACAAGTAGTTCTGAAAAGAAAATTAACAGAATTCAAAAAGACCATGCGCGAGATAAAAGAATATTACATGCTCTACGAGTGACGTTCTGATATACCAGGGTGCAACAGAATTACATCGGATGTTGTCCTTCGCCCACTCACAAGCCAAATTCTTTGTCAGTTGATTTATTGCACCTGCAAGCAGCAAAGAGGAACAAAAAACCTGTAAATTCACATCCATCCAGGTTCACATTTCCATACTAATGCAACAGAAAGGGACGAGTCATGATGGTTACCACCGTTACCTTTAGTTGCTCCATATATGGATCCAGAAGAAATGTTCACCAGACCACCAACAGAGGAAATGAAGACAATGCTTCCAACTCCAGATGCTTTTAGAAGAGGATATGCAAGCTGACATAAATGGTAAGTAGATTCAAAGTTGGTAGCCATCAGCTTAGAATATTCTTCAGCTGTATACTCAGCAGTCTTCTTCCTTATGTTTGTCCCAACATTGTTTATCTACAGCCAGTAGATCATTTACGGTGACATTCAAAATGGTTGAGTATATGATTTGAAGTGATGCTATATGATTAGAGCATAGAAAATTTATCAAGAGCTAGTCATGCCAATAAACTTTTTTTCAAAGGTCCAAGGAACTGGAAAACAAAAAAGAAAAAGAAAAAAACAAGCTTTTTGAAATTGATGTACTCTAACTAGAACTGAAAACAAATATCACTAAGAAGACAGCTATTCATTTCCTTGGACTAGGGTTTTCTTTTTCTTTTTAATGTAAATTTTCCTCAAGTTTAATCAGGTTCTGGTAAAGAACACTAAAAAAGATAGAGGTGGAACCATCAATAGTAAGCATAGTGCCATAGTGTCACGTCCAACATAGTGAACTTTAGAGGTTCAAAAAGTTTGGATCTCCTTACCAATACTACGGATAACTATATAGGGTGTGGGTGTGTCTAAGTGTTGGACCTCCTTGAATCCCGAATCTTATGATACGAGAATATGTGTCCAAAAGTTAGAGATGGTATATAGACACGTTAGCTCCAGGTTTCTCAGATTGATCATCTTATTGCAACAAAGCAAGCTTAGGACTGCATCTAATGGAAATTTAGGTCTCTATGCATTTCGTTTATACCATACCTATCGGCCATTTCCAGATTGGAAAGGTTGTCATGGCCGATCCCAATGGAAGGGTGAACGTTTCCAATTGGAAGGGTGATATGCAAATAAGGATGCAATCATGAAGCGACACGTGGCTTCATCAAAGAAAGCCATTTGGTACAACTAACTACATAGGGACATGTGTTAGCAAAGAGGGAGGTAGTTACCTACAAGTTGAAAAGTCATGGGACATGTGGCAGCTAATGAAGGAGTAGGTACCTACAAGTTAGAGTCCGTTACAGGCAGTTAGGAGATCGTGGTCCATTCCACTTGGTAGTTCCAGAACGTGACTAGAAGCTTTCAATTGGCATTGAACCACCAAACCATTCCTCCAAACCTACAATTCATGGGAGAGCATATCCTTACACATGTCAACATTATGAGAAGAGAAAGGGAGACATGGAACACATGGCACAAATCAGACGTTCCACGTGGCACAAATTAGACGTTCCACGTGGCACAATTCGGACATTCCACTTGGAAAACAACATATGGAACTGTCACTGGCTATAAATAGAAGACTTGGACAGAATGAAAAGGCATCTCCACACAGATCAAACAACTCCTATTTTCACACACTTGTCATTACAATTCATGCACTCTATGTTTTCCTAGTTTAATATTTACTTTTCAAGCATTTAAATTTCCCACACATGTATTTCAATTCCTTCAATTTCCAGCACTTGTGCTTCATTTCTTAGTTTAATGAAATTCAGTTCAGTTCAATCCATTTCATTCTTCCAGCAGCACTTTCACCAAACATTTCCATCTTTCTTCCATTCCATCTTTCCATTTCCGAAGTCTTTTTCCACAAAGGCAAAAAGAACCTAGCGAGAGCAATCATTCCAAGCTCTCCACAATCGCCTGATCTTCAAGCCTCTCAAGGCCAGATTTGGAATATAGTTTGACGCTATTCCATTTCTATTGCATTCTGGGTGAATCCTGGCATGCCTGCACCTTCCACTGGGAACGGACAAAATTTTTGTGGCCAAACACATTTTAATACATTACATGTTTTAATGTTGTTTTTTTATAAGTAAATGGTCAATTATAACTGAAATTGTATGAGGGTGTCGTAAAAGAAAGGGTTTTCATCCATCTCGTAGATGGGAAACTCCTCTGTTTGAGTTTTTCTTCTTCAATCCATGTGAATGATCAGGGTGTCCAAATTTGGAAAGCGTCTCCCTTTTTAACTTCTTGTATCCTAAATTTTTTTCTCCCACAAACCAATTTCAAATTGGCCTTAATACTTGCAAGAAATGGAGGAATGAATTATCTTTTTTCTTTTTTTCCCTCTTCAGTAAATAGGAATGAATTAGCATTGATACCTCATAGAATCAGAGATCTCTGTAGAGAACAATTTGAAAAGTGACTATGAAAAGCAAATGGTATCAAATAGAACGTGTGTGTGTGTGTGTAAAGTTATAAACATATATGTGTATAACAATTGAATGGGGATAATCGAATGTATGTATAAAATTGGAGACTGTGTTGTGACTTACAAGGATGTTGAGGTTGCCAGTGAAAAGAGAAGAGACCTTTTCCATGAGTTGTAGGCGTTGGTCTTGAGAAGATGCATCGCAGACCGAACCGGTGACTGCGAAACCCTTACCGGTCCATTCTTGCAAGCAATGGTTGAGCTCAGCTTCGTTGCGAGAACACGTGTGTACCGTAGCCCCTAATTCAGCTAGTTCCTCAACAATCGCATGCCTGGACACATCAAAATCAAATCAAATCAATCAATCAAAACCCTAGAGATAATTTCGAGAGCGATTAGATCAAGAATCATTAATCAGATTGAAAAATTATATATAGATTGAGAGAGAGACCCGATTCCACGAGTGCCACCGGTGACAAGAGCGTTCATTCCAGTGAGAGACCACCGTGAAGATCCGCAGCTGCTCTCTACCTTCGCCATCTTCTCTCTCTTCTCTGCAACTGGAACTACTAGTAGGCGAATACGTTACGTTATTGAATTTTTTTAAAGGGAAAATTACATATAAATGGAGTTAAAAGTTCCATATTTACTTAGAGGCTGAGTCAAAGTTTCATATTTCTCTAAAATGAATTGCTGAGGTGGTACATGGTTTTTTACTATTTAAAAATTGTGATGCCTAAAATACCCTTCCGCGAAGGTACTATTTTTTCTTCGAAGGTATTACTTTTTTGAACTGAAGGTACTACTTTTTGGCGTCTAGGTACCATGTTTTTTAAACACTCGTGAAGGTACTACTTTATCTCCGAAAGTATTACTTTTTTAAACTGAAGGTATTACTTTTTTGAACTGAAGGTACTACTTTTTTATTAGGGAAGGGCATTTTAGGCACCATAATTTTTTAAACAGTAAAAAATCATGTGCCACCTCAGCAATCCATTTTAGAGAAATATGAAACTTTGACTCAGTCTCTAAGTAAATATGAAACTTTGACTCCATTTATATGTAATTTTTCCTTTTTTTTAAAAGGTGACGCTTTTGGCGGCATTCGCAGCTTTGTTGATTGATTTTTTATTCCTTTGTCGATTGATTGGATTACCACGAGGAAGCCCACCACATTTTCTTTTAATTACACCTGTTAAATGTATGGGGGTGGGACCAGGAAATCCAGGTCGGATTCGATGCACCAAATGACTACGGTAAATTAGGGTATATTCATTGTTTTGACCTCAAGTTTGGGTGTCAACTCAACAACCCTTTTCCTCCCTCAAAATTTGTAAAACCTTTTTTTACAAAATGACTAAGTTACCTTTACATTCAATTTTTTATTTGTTTATTTACAATATATTTTTTAGAAGGGGTAACTGCGTTTGAGAGGAAAGAGAAAGTAATAAGAGAGATGAGAAGAAAAATTGATTTTTTTTTTTTTTTTTTTTTTCTAGATTTTATAATATATTTTGTATTATAAAATCATATTATATATAAGGGTATAATTAACTTTTTATAGTCTTAAGAGAGGTAATAGTAATAAACCTCAAAATCTCCACTCATGTGAGATTTGTCCAAACTTTAGAAGAGGTAAGTGTAATTTACCCAAAAATTATTGCATAGCCTTGATTAATTACATAATGTCATGTAAATAAATGTGTCAATTTTATTTAATACTTTTTCTAATATAATTGATTATAATTTGTCGGGATCATGTAGTCCAAAATCGTGTAAAAAAATTTCCCAATACATTCCTCATTTTAGACTCGGTAACATATTCAGCTCTGTACCAAATCGGTGACACTTGATTCACCATTTGCACTACAAGATAGTCTCTCTTGGGAGTGGTTGCATATATAGAAGTAAAAATGGTGTTGTTTTGCAACTTTGAGTGCTAAAAGGTAACTAGGTTCAAAGGATTTTGGTTTGTAAAAATAAAAAATAAATAAAATTTAGTAAATAAATTACCAAAATTATTTCCTCCGAAGTGGGATGGACTAATTATTAGATGGTTATAATCCATTTGACATGTGGTGGACCAGTTCAATCTAGATCGTTGTTGAATTTTTTTTTTAATATATTAATATGCTATTGTGGGACAATTTTCTTAATTGGAGAGTTTGAATTGAATTGATTTATGGATTAGGACCGTTTAATAATTCCTCGGATTGTGAGTGTGCACAATCTAATTAGTATAGGCTCAATTTTTCAAATTTTTTTTAATTCCTCTTTTTTAGTTATTCAACTTATTCAATTATAGTGTGTGAGTGTGAGTAAACAATTACAGTATGGGAGTGCCAATAGATTAGGACCATTTAATAATTTTTATTCTTTCAAAGTGCAGTTATATTTTGGACCTGGCTGGATTTGGACCGGACTCAAGTTCGAAATAAGTTTCATCCAGATCCACATCGCCATTTGGGCCTATTGGACCGAGAGAATTTGGGCCAAGATGGAAATAAGTTTGATCAAGGTTGTGTCTGGTTTATTAGGACTGAAAAGGGAATTAAGGTTGTGTTTTACGGTATAGTGTTAACTTTATCTTATGGAATGATTGTTTTATTTTGTGATTGATAGATGTTTGAGATTTTAAGTTCTTTTAATAGAGACAAATGGAATGTGTGGAAGAATGATATATATTATATTATATATATAGAGAGAGAGTGCAAAGTGTAATATTTAAATAAAAGAGTTTTTTTTTTTTTTTAAGGTAAAAGAGCAAAATACTCCCCTATACTGTACCAATGATGCATAATGTCTCCTGAATTATTTTTTGAAACAAGTGGCTACCTTTAACTATCAAAAACAAACAAAATGTCTCTTTAAAGGTCACCAAAAACTAATTTTCGATCAACAGAAGAACACAATTATTAATTTATTCTTATTTATTAATTTATTATAATAAATCAAAATATCTGCTATCATGAGATGAACACTTTACTCCCTATCTTGTTTCCCCTTTCATTTTTTTTCTCATTTTTTTTCTCTGCCTTTTTTTATATTTTTTAATCTCTCTGCTCTCTCTCTCTTTCACTTTCTTCGCCACCCACCATCCCCGCCACCACCCCTCATCTCTCTTCTCCACTAATGTGGCTACCCATCATCCACCACCCATTCTCTCTCTTCTCCACCTCATCCATGTCCGTATGTGTATGTGATCCTTATTCTCTCCCATCACACAGAAATTTCAATGATGAAGGGATAAATTTGGTCATGGTCCATGCCTATATATAAATATAAATACAGATACAGATACACAAACACATACACATACAGATGCACATACACAATCACATACACATACGGACATGGATGAGGTAGAGAACAGAGAGAGAGAATGGGTGGTGGAGATGATGGGTAGCGTCATAAGTGGGGAAGAGAGAAGAGGGGTGATGGTGATGGTGGGTGGCGAAGTAAGTGAAAGAGAGAGAGAGAGAAGAAAAAAAAAAAAAGAAGGCAAAAACAAGGAAAGGGGAAAAAAGACATGGGCAAAGTAGTCATTTTATTAATAGCAGATATTTTGATTTATTATAATAAATTAATAAGTAAGGGTAAATTAGTAATTGTGTTCTTCGGTTGGTCGAAAATTAACTTCCGATAACCTTTAAGGGGGCATTTTGTAAAGATAAAAATTGGTCTAATAAAATATGTAGAAACCATTAAAAAGAGAAAAAAGAAATTATAAATTCCGATATCCAATATCTTGGTATGAAATGATTAAAGTAAAAAAGAAATCACATTATTTGATTGAAATTTTCAAATGTTTTAATCGTTGCATAGGAATCTAAGTAGTACATGCTCAATTTTCCTGGTTTTTTTTTTTTTAGTAAAAAAAACTCAAATTTTCAAAACAAAAAGTATATATATTTTTTTCTAAAAATAAAAGTACAAATATGGGCACAAAGGTCAGCTACATCATTTACAAACAAGGCAATAATACAACAAGGCAAGTTAAGAAACCTGATAAAAAATAAGCACACATCAACAAAAAAATTAATTGACACTAATGCTCTCTGTTCCGTATGAAAGAAAATAATTGGATGGAAAGAAGAAAGAGAAAAGTGGCGTAGTCAGGAATTTCCTTTTGTGGGACATTTTTAATAACAATAATATATATATATATATATATATATATACATTGGCGTTCAATTGCTCTTTGGAGAGTATAAAATAATATATTCACTTTTAATCTTGACCTTAAAATCTAATCCTACGGTAATTAATTAATCAGTGTTTGTTTTTTATATTTAAGGCAATTGCTTCCTTTTTTTTTTTATTGCCATTCTATTAATAGAAAATGACAAAACTACGCAAGTTTTTAATGGAAACAAATTAAAACAAAATTGGTAAAACTTTTCTTTTATATCTTTTATACGAATTCATTCCCATCCGAATTCTCAAACCATACCAATTAAAAATAAAAAAATTAATTATTTCTAATCTCTTCAACGATAAAAGGTTCATTCCCTTCGTTTCTATCCGTTTAGCCAGGGAATTTTCAAAACATACTAGTTGAAAAATTCGCATAGATTCTGACATAGGCGTTAGCGTGGCACATCTCTTCTTTGCAACTCTTGTTGATTGCATCATCCAGTAATACTTCCTTTCGTCAATTTATTAAAAGGTATCTCTCTAAAATCTCTTGTTGATTGTTTCATATCTTCCATAACTTGTATCATTGTAAGGTATTTGTTACAGACTGTGTGATCAAAATTTATTATTATTATTATTTTATTTTGGTTGATTGATAAAGGATACTTAGTAATTGGAATACCATGGTACTTCCATCTTTTGGATAAATCATGGTTTTGACCTCAAATAAAAGCTTTGAGTATTAAAGTTGGATTCAAATTGCATGGTGACGTTTAATATATACCAATTAGAATGTTCAAAGTGTTAATACTATGAGAGCATGCCAAAAGGTGTATAAATATCATTTCAGTACCATTTCTAAGTTTTTCCAGTGTCCTTTATTTACAAAATTTTAATAAATAGCTTTTTTTTTTTTTTTCGGTAATTAATAGAGAACTTTATTTAAATTTTTTTTATTTGCTAAACGTTTATTTTTATTCAGGTATGGATGGTATAAGATTGTGGGAAAATGAAAATGAGAAAATATATATTCCTCAAGTTGCTTATGAGAAAAAACCAAAAGAAGGCTAGGAGTTCAAGTCTTTAGATGAGATTTACAATTTTTATAACAAGTATGCACGTGAAGCGGGTTTTAGTGTGCAGATTGATAAGAATAAAAAGAATAAGGATAGCCATGAAATATATTGGAGACAATATGTCTGTTATAAAGAAGGAGAAACAGATGAGACAACCTACAAAAGAAAAAAAGAAAAAGAAAAAGAAATTAATGATAATGTTGAAATTGGGTCAAAGAAATTAGAAAGGCGTCGAGGAAAAGTACGTGAAGGGTGCAAAGCAAGATTGATTGTAGTTCAACGTGGAGAAAATTATATAGTCAGTCAATTTGATGAAGGTCATAGCCATCCGCTTGCAACCCCCAGCAAAATACACCTTTTGAGGTCACATCGCAAGGTTTCAAATGCAAAAAAAGCACTGGCTCAACAATTTGGAAATATAAATATGCCTACATATCAATAGTGTGATATTTTAGAAACACAAGCCGGTGGAATTCAAATTGTTAGTTGTACTGAAAGAGATCTCAGAAACTACAAGCGAGATGTGGGAGAAAAATTCAAAGGTCATGATGCCGATATGTTGTATGAGTACTTTCAAACACAGAGAGAAAAAAATCCTGCTTTCTTTTTCGAATTTGACTCGGATGAAAATGGTCGGATGACTAGGTGCTTTTGGGTTGACGCCACTGCAAGAAAAGCATACAATCGTTATAGTATGGTTTTTGCTCCACTATTAGGTGTTAATCACTATGAGAAAACAACAATTTTTGGATGTGGTTTCTTAAGTGGTGAGAGAGTTGATTCATTCATTTGGCTATTTGAGACTTGGCTAAAGGCAATGCCAAAATGTGAACCGAACATTATTATCAATGATCAAGATCCAACAATGGAAAAGGCTATAGCTCAAGCACTTCCACACACCTTCCACAGGTACTGCATTTGGCACATCATGAAAATATTTCCTAAAAAGTT